ATACTTATTGGTAATGGTCATTGATCTCTATTCTTCACCAACTACACAACAGATCACACTTGAATTGAGTCAATATCTTACACGACATGGCGACATGCATGCCATATTGCCCTTTCATCTAAAAAATCTGCTCGTTGGGATTATCAGTAAGAAAAGATTTTTTTTCAAAAGTAACGTCGCCGCTATTGCTTTACTTAATCATACATTTTGTTTTTTATGCCTCCCTTTGACCTTGCTTATCAAGACTGTACATATATTCATACAGTACCCGGATTACTTCACAGTGAAATGGTAAAGACTACTGACAACTAAAACCGCCTATTTGTGAACCGCTTTGGCTTTCATCGTGCTCAATAACGTCACAGGTGAAGCCAAACGTAAACCTAGTGTAAAAGACATTTAGCTCATTTTGTGTTTATTTATGTCGTCATCCTACTATGACTGCAGCTGCGAACTCCTCATTTGCCCAATTCTACCATCCACGTTACTGGGTAGCGATATAACGAAGCGTTACTCGGGCGTAGTTAAGACGATCATTTTTTTGTCTTGGTGCAACGGACGTAAGCAGGGTGAATAAACCCGCACTGACGCCAGGCGCTGCGGTTTACGACAGATTTACGCCCGTTGGTGCAACCGGACGCTGGTGAATAACATCCATTGATACTATCTTAACGATAACATTTTGGAGATGTCATCTGACGATATGAGACATGGTGATCTGTGTCGTTCTATTACCTTCAGTTGTGTTTTATTGTGTATTTTGTATCCATAATGGCTAACAACAATGTTGATGACCCCAAATGGAGGTCATCAGGACGGCTTTATTGTCCAATGTGACGTGTTGTCATTCTCTCTTGGTAAACCGACAGTTTAAGAATAGCGTCGAAAATTGCCTTTTGTGTTGGTAATTGGCGACGACCTTGTCACTGTTGACCAAATATGTGAAACAAATTGCACGTTTATACCAGCAGTGACTTTGACAATGAATATCCACCCATCATTAAAGTGATAAACATATATATCGTACTCTGCGTCATACTCTTGTGATCATGTATGGCTTCAGACCTGCGCTAGATGGCGCCCGAGAGCATGCGCTATATCTGACCGGTGAGCTAGAAACGTTTTGAGAGAAGAGTCGTCATTTGGTTTCAGATATTTTATATGCCTCACTATAGGATTGATAAAGGTAAAGAACGGACAACTATGGCACCAAAAATGAATTCTCTACTATCCACAATAATTTATTGTATAAAATTGAACTACTGGTAGACCTAACTGACACGAAAAAAAAAAAAAGAAAGAAATTCGGTGGTGTACTCTTATAATAAATGTAACAAATAACACGTTCTTTATTGATAATGATGAAGACAATGGAAATTATCTCTGGATTGATTTATGGATACCCCCACTATAAGAAACATACACAAGACTGCCTGTAATTGTTCGATGAGGTTTAATTTTCTTATGTTTTTTCTCAGAAGTGTACAAAGATTGATACATGTTATATAATTAAGGTATGCTCATCTTTATCCCACTTTTATTTAGATTTAAGAAAATTCTCCCGTCACAGGCAGTTTTCTTATTACAATGCTGGATAACCATTTGGCACAAAGTTGTCTTTTAAAGTGTAAATACAATTGTTTAACGTTGACAATAGACCTAACTTCATAAATATATTATATGCATTTCTATGATTAAAAAGTTCAAAAAAGTCACGTGTTCACGTATATGAAATTTATTACAGATATATTAAAAAAGGAGCGGTTACTTTTCAACCCCTACCAGTTTCAATATTATTATCAGTAATTACCTCCGCCAAGGAGGTTATGTTTTCACCCGGTTTGTTTGTTTGTTTGTCATCAACATAACTCAAAAAGTTATCGATGAATTTCGATGGAATTTTTAGGGTAGGTCAGAAATGGGTTAACTTAGCAGTTATTAGTTTTTGGTGGTGATCTGGATCAAGAATCAATTAATAATCAATTATAAAAAATAAAAAACTAAGTTATGGACCGATTTTGATGAAATTTTCAGGAACTGTCAGAAGTGGGTCAAGGAACAGATGATTAGTTATTGGTGGTGATCCGGATCAATAATCAATCAATAATCAAAAATAATAAAACTAAATCATTATAGAATGAAAATTTAGGGGTGAAACGGCATTGGATGGAGACTTTGCTGCCTTGGCGGAGGTCTGCGCTCTCTGAGTGCTTTTCTAGTTTCAATATATGTTCATATATAGGTGATAAATATTTGGTGTCAGTATTATATAGCTATTGAAAATTGGTGAATCGTCCCTTTACTTCAAAGGTAAATGAGTCAATGGTTTTAGAAATCTCGTTTTAATGGATAAACGTCCCCTTTACTGATGACAAATGATGCATATATCAAAATGAATTCTTACATAATTTCTTTTTCTTTCTTGGCGTGCTCCTAGTACTTATCAAATCAGTCCTGTGTCTGTGTTAAGTAGTGTGGGACCTTTCAGATTTTTTGATTCCGAGGTAAAAGAGCAACGCATTTTATCTTCCTCCAGTGAATTTTCTTGACATTTCACCGGAAGAAGATAAAATGAGTTGATCTTGAGAAAAATGAATCGAAAAAAAAAAAAAAAAACACACTAGTGAGAATGCCACTTTCTGAATATGGCAAATTAAACGGAAAAGGTATTTGCCGTGCGGTTTTCCCTAATGTGTATTTAAGTATTTGGTGATTCGAGAGAAGATAAAATACTTTTTTTTAAATATTAATAGTAACAAGGCCGAACATATATCAAACCTGAGCTTAAAGTTGGACAAGGAGTGTAATGTGCTTATTATCCTTAAGGGAATATTGCAGCAAACTGTCCTTAAAAGTAATGATGAAGGAGGACAATGGTGGTTAGCTTCCATCATTATTATCTTAGTAATTCAATTAAAAGTGTTGCGGTGAGACTAAAATGTCATTGACATTTAATCATAAAGCGTCAAATCCAGAATGTTAAGTGAGGGGGGGGGGGGGGGCTGGTGGTAATGGTGAAATACCTTTGAAGTATCTCTTCGTTTTCTTAAGCGCAGCCTCCGCTTCGACTCCTTTCCCGTCATTTTGTCAACGCGGTTGTCTAAAGATGTTTAAAATATCGTTTCATGTTATAGACAAAATGGGCTTGTGGGGTAGTTAGGAAAGTCTGGCGCTCCGGAGACGTTCTAAGCGAAGACTTCAATCGGACACGCCATGCCAAATTGACTGCCATTATTTGACATAATTGAAAAGCAGCACTCATTATGTTTTAGATAGGAGATAAACGTTGATGTGTTGTAGGTTTTATATGCCTTGATTTTATGAAGTGTATCGAATACATTTCATTCGTTAATCATTAAAGACAAATTGAAAACTAAATTAAAGACGTTTCATTATTGTGGTTTAAATTAATATAAGACGCAAAAGTAAGCCATTTTCTTCTAGCATGATGAGAAATAAATAAAAGCTTCATTCCTATTTATTTAACAGCCAGACTCTTTAACAACTCTTCATTTACAATATTAGAGCCGAGGGCCAGTATTATTTCAAATCTATAAGATATTGGTCTGCAATGAGGCACACAGTGGCGACGCTCGGTCCTGTTACCACGCTTTTTCCTTCATTGAACTCTTCTCTTGTTTTATCTAATAAAGAGATCAGTTGGTCTAATGAATGGTATCAAAACATTAAGAACAATTTTTGTGTATTTGTTCTGTGCTACAAAAAGGATAAACATGTGAGACAGCGTCTTATTTTTATTTTAATTTAGAAACAAATTGCATTATATACAAGAGTAAACTATATTAAAACAAGGACATAACTAAATAATATCATACATAGAAAGAGATCACATGTCCACAAAATATCATTAAAGTGGCAGTTTGTGAGATTTCCCTTCTTAGAATCTTTAAAATTTTCCATCAAATAGCCTGCTGTCATTTTACAAATATAGCATTTATCCTGTATAATGGAAAAGATATCCCCCTCTAAAAAACGAATAATGTGTAATTCGTCTTGAAAATGCAACAAAATGCGTGCAACTATCGACTAATTGCAAGTCAAAGATGAAAAGTAGTCTTTAAATCGATATATATATATATGACAAATGTTTGAAGATGGCACTCGTCGCCTTAATTGTAGGCCAGTACTTAAATACTTGTCGGAGACGACACTAATAGTGCTTATACTTAATCAGGTGCACCTTAAACCAGAAGAACGATGTCTATGAGTTTTTAAAGCAAGGCTTTTTTTGCAATGTAACACAAATAAATTTCTTTTAAAGGAGAGATGATTGAAGACGTCTTTTTTAAATTATCATCTTCGCATACCAAAAAGTCTATCTCTGAGCCAGGAGGGTTTTATATATTGACAGGTATAATTTTGAATGCACAAAACGCTAATCGTATCATAATTTATTTTATTTTATTTGTAGTGATTACAACGAAAAAAGATGGGGTAATTTTTGAATAACGACAAAATTCGTGATGGGAAAGTTTTAAGCAATTTAATAAACGGATCTGTTTATGCTCTAGTTTTATGATAATTGTTAGTGAAATCTTGTCACCTGTTTTATTATACATTAACTCTTCGTGGTTTAGAATTATGTATATTTTTCTCTTTTAATCATAATTTACTTTACCACACAACTGGTGTTTCTTCTTTAACGCCACTGCCACATATAACTTAATGCTTGCCGTCTTGGAAAAAAGGGGGAAAAGAAGGTTTCCATTTCATTCTATACCAAGAAGGGAATTACAGATAATAATAATCATTTCATGTAGAATCAAAATCTATCAACTTTCATCGAGCTACTTATCAATCGTGGCGTTCCTAGAGTGACGTCACTCACGGTTCACGTGTCACGCGATTTCCTTTAATCTCAGCGGTCAGAGAATTAGTCATAATTTCCTTACAAATATTGCAATAGATAATGCTATTTGTAAATTGATCGAAATTAAGATATCTTTTATGAGCTAGAATATACTAAAAGACTAATTATACAGTTACGAAAGGCCCTTTATTAACACACGTAAAGCCGCAGAAGAGGATACTGAGTATTTGGAAATTTAGAATAACTTACCGGTAAGTGAGAAATGACTTGCTAGTAAGCATGTACTTATTACTTGCAAAAAATTTATCCAAGATTCATTTAAAGACACAGGTTCTAAGACACGATTTTTGGCCTTTTTTAAACTTATGGAGTCGAAGATGAGCTTTACTAAAAGGAAACTAGAAGATCTAACTGAGCAATCTGTATTCAAACATACGCATCAGATACAATAAAATTACACATTTTATTAATGGAATTTCTGTCCTAAAAGTCTTATTAGAAGTATGGGTTATACGTGTACAGACATTGACATGTAGATGTAGTTTGGGTAACACAGAATGATTATGTAATTATGCAGTGACGCAAGTAATTCATACGCATTTTGCTCAATATAACGCATTTTCTGAAATAAAAATGGTTAAAATTCACTATGACAGCATTACACAAACGCGCGTGCTCGCCCGACACGCACAAAACCACCGTGTATTTCTTCTTACACAAATATTTGTAGATTTCGCGCCTGCGCAGGAGGCTCTTCCCTCTACTGGCCAGGAGTCGAAGGTTATCAGATAGAGTGAGTGGCGCAGTGCTCTACCTGAGAATTCATTAGCGGTCCCTTGCTCCCACTAAATGAGGGCAAGGCACACACAGTGGTCGTTAACGGGCCTCTTATAAGGACGGCGCGTTTGTCGTGTCGGCTGCTCTAAAACAGGGTGCTGCGCATCGGCGAAACGTCTTTTGGCACCGGGCAGGGGCGAGTCACCCCCAATATAGTTTTCTTGACTTTGGTGCTCGTGAGGAAGTCTGATTTAGAATTTCCTGAACGTGCGTTAAGTCAGCTGCAATAAGCGGTACAAAAGGCAAGGACAAGTCTGAATCAACCAAACCCTGTTAAAAAGAGTCAACAGAAAATTTTCGTATTGGCATCCAGAAATTTGTTGGAGAACGAACACGCTCGGGTTGCAGCCTAGTGATTCTTCAACTACACCGCGGATTTTTTCACTCAGCCTCAGACAAAACCTCACACACCACTTGATCGGTTTCGACAAGGGAGCAAAAGAGGAAACAACCGTCAGACTTGGCACCAATATCAATATCTCAGGGATATTTCTGTCGACCATAATGGAGAAAGTTACTTTAATTGGACTATGTGCGTTGGTAGTGGCGTCATTCACAAGCACATCTGCGGAGCCAAGTAAGTACAGAACAACTGAGGTAGATATTAGCCAAAAAATTAAGTTTATAAATTCGTTCAGTACGATCGATGCAACTTCGTGAACCAACAATTTCACTGTATATTGCGTTGCGAAATACGCACTTTGTTATAAGGAGAGAGAGAGAGAGAGAAAGAAAGAGAGAGAGAGAGGGGATGCAGGGGCGGATCCAGAACTATTTACTGACAGTCTTCCAAATTATCTTTGTTGATTCATCCTTCAATTTTGACCGTCTTCAAACATGAAAAATTGGATACCCGTCAATGTAAACTTGAAAATCTGACCGTCTTCCGGAAGACCCAGAAGACGGCCTAAATCCGCCCCTGGGATGACATTACTAGATTCCATTTAAGGTATTCTTTACATAATTCTTAAACCAAATTAAATTTACCCCAAGGAAAAATTCTCCTAGTCACGAATCATTACAAATCGTCGTTCATTTATTATAAAATTAAAAAAAAAAAAAAAAACATTTTTGAGGATCCACCGTTTTTATTAGGAGATACTCAATAGAAAAGATTGTACTAATACAAAAAATATGACTTTTGGTTATTTTAAAAAGTGTACAGAATACCCCAAAATTATCAATTCGTCTTTCTGCTTTAAATACACTTGGACAAAATGTCAGCATAAAGATGTGCATCAAATAGCATATTTCAGTGTCATGTAATGTAATCCTCCGGTCCTTCATTAGCACAGGAGTTACATAGTGTACACGGTAATTAAGGTGATGAATGCTAATCGTTTATCGTTAACATACATATCTGATGGGAAAGCCAGGCATATCAAATTTCCATCATAGCTTAATCCCTTTGAAAGTTAAGTGCACTTTTTTTAATTTCATATCTGAAACTGAAATAGCTAACAGTATATGTTTGATATTTTAATATTACATAATACAAAATAAATGTAACATATACCCTTATTACATAGATTTTGACACCGGTTTGTTGTGTGGAATGCAAGCGAGAATGGGTATATGTAGGTATTTATATGAAAAACAGTGGAAAAAACCAAAGAATTTAGCTGAAAATGGATTTCATGCTATGCAAAGGACGCTGATAAACTTAAACATTAAATAGGCGTTTTGTTTCTGAACAACACCCATTTGCAATGAGCGATTATTCCCTAGAGTAAAACTGATGAATAAAAACAAAACACACTTCGGCACGACAAATATGAGTTATTAGTACAACTCCAAGCACTAATCATCCATTAGAGTTTATCTTTCTTCCTCCTGTTTAAAGCACTTCCCCTATGGGTGTGGTAGCGATAGTCATACGAATCTAACAATATACAGTGGGGTATTGTTTTGGGGGATGGCCATTACTAGCCCCAATGACGTGAGATATGTGGCGTGGATAGGGGGTTGAGGTCAGATAAATTGACCGACACGTGTTTATGGTACGGTAAATCGTGGCCTATAGGTGTAGACACGCGTGTCCGATCTTCGGAAATTTCGACTGGAGATGTGAAATTCGTTCGCTGCGGCTGTACTTCAGTCTTGCGCACATGTGTGTGTGCGTATTTGTGCGTACGCGTGTATGTGTGTGTGTGATTAGTTTTTAGTGCTGATTTTGTGTACATGTGTTGGCTCCCATATAAAGCGCACGCACGCTTGTGTTTGTGTTTGTTTGTGGTTACGTGCCTACGTGCGCGTGTTTGAGAGAAAGATAATCACTGGACGAAACAATGAGGACAGCACCTCTCTGGTTTATTTCCCCATAGGCAGCGGCTAACTGGACGTTTGTTTTATGATTTATTCTATATAAATAAATTTGACTGCCCCTTGACATGAGATGTTGTTGGTTACAGCGACCATGAACTCAACAGAAAACATCAATTACATTCCGTCTCCGTTATAATTGATCTCGACATGTTCTTATAGGAATGTCCTGGCCATCTAAATACAGCTCAGACGATGCGTGAGGCAATAAATTTCAAACGTATACACTGGCCACATGTATTACATTGTATTCCGAACTGTTCAAATAGCGTCATGGTTCCTTCGTGTTTAAAACTTAATGCTTTCGTATAACATGATAAGAAAATAATTAAAACAACACTGAAAAACATTTTCTATATTTAACCGTTTAGTACCAATTGTGTGTTTCTTTGGGTGATATATCGTTTAATACTTCGCATATTGGCCACACATAGGCAGGACAATAGTGTATTATTCCAGCATTCTTGCGGTAAGAAGACAGTAAGGAAAACAACAGTGCAATGTCACGCGTGTTTTTAAATATTTCACATATCGTCAATGCACCGAATATAACCTAAACCGATTAAAATACTTTTTTTAATGGCCATCAAATATCATATAATGCGTTTAAAAATTACGTTAATTTATACAATTTTTGTACAATCCATCTTTTTTCAATTGCAAATAATCATCATTGCATGACGTGAAAGGAACAATTTGAATGAGAAAGGAATTTTGGTACCTTAAAGAACATGTCCCATCACTCTAGATACATATAATTGGGAACACCATTAACCGCATACAATCAGCTAAAATCTGGAAGTGCAAGATATTCAACTTCATTATTTAGTGAGCTAGTGGAGTGCTTAGAAGACCTCCCTGTATGAAATCAAAGATAACTATACTTAATTAAAACATTACACATTAAAACATTACACATTAAAATTAACACGACACATTAAAATCTTTACACAGTTGTTCAAGACAACTGATTCTCATACTGGAAACAAGGCAGGTATAATGTTAGCCATATTGTTAATTAGTGATCTAGATTCTTAATTTCCTTTATAGTTTAAATGAGAACTACAGGTATGGAGAAGAATGATGGTTGCGTTAAAGACGTGCCCCTCGCCGTAGTATATCTTTGTTCCATTTTTCCTTATCTCACTCCCTTCTTCTCCACATTAAGAATACGCGTCCCATATGAGCGAAACGCATTTTTGAAATATTAAAATATTTCAACTCACTGCATTACTTGACAAATTATGAAGTCCTCATGTTTATGCAGATGGTGAAAGGACAGTATTGTACTACTGGAATGTGTTAACTCTCCGGACCACCTGTATTACATGAGCGTGCTGTGTCAACCTGTCCGATGATAAATGTCCAAAGACACTGATGCGAACCTTCAGAGTTGTGTATTAGTTTTATCTACTAAATCTGAAATGAAAATTTTGTTTAACGACTTCATAATCGGCAGCGCGTACAGAGTGTGAACGAAGAATGCTTATATACACGTAGGCCTACTAAATAGCCTTTACTTGTCAACCATCCTAGCTTGATTTTGAATTTTTGAACAATAAATCTCATCTTAATTGTACTTTTAAAATTGTTACAAATTTAGGCGGCCGCTTGTGAATAAAGATATAAAATTTTTGAACTATTCTTTAAAAATAATTGGATGCAAAATTGCACAAGGAGTTCAAACGACATCATTATCTTGTCATTTATTATGGCTGTCTCATGATCATACTTTACTAAAATTTTGAAAGCGCCAGATCCATTAACCGTGCGCTTTTTGATTAGACAAAACCATTTGGTATGTTCCACTATTTCTTAGTGGATCGTTTTGGCTAGGGGGTGTCATTTCCACCCAAGGTACCAGTACACTCCGATAAGACACACAGTGTACATGCCACTTCGCTTAAGCTGCTAGAGTTGTGTTTCATAATTAATTGTATGATATTCGAATTCAGACTAGAAAGAATTTCTGAAACGATAATATCTTTTTCTGTGAAAAAAGCTATGATAAGCTTTAAAAAGTTCTGAGCCAAGAGCACCATAATCTCTGTAAATTATCACAGTTATTTAGATGCAATCTAATGGGATGAAAAAGTTGATATAAATACCAGAAACACTCAAATAGCGACAGTTAACTTTAACCAAATGAAAATACAGGGTGATATACTATAATATATGCGACTAGCCACAAAGATTACGATGAGTTGCACGCTTGGAAGCCACGTTATGATAAGATTTATGACACTGATAAAACTGACATCCGTCTGCTTCGAATAAACTGAGAGGTGACTGGGAATTTAGTATCAAGGAAATCATCAAACCACAGTCAGGATCCATTGTAAAGTGCACAAACCGCGATACTGAGATTCGTGACGAGAAAGTAAATATACAAACCTCAAAGAGCAGAACGCCATTTTGACAGATCATTAAAGAGCTAAATAAAGATAATCAAAATAAACAAAGAAACCAGGAATAAGTTGACGGTGAAATTTATTAACTGTTGCGGTCGATAGAAATTGAAGTAATTTAGTGTGGTGTAGTAAGCTTTGGAATGGCTGCATGTGAAAGACGCCTGGAAAATCCTGTCGCCAAACAGGTAACGTCCGTGTATTCATTACAGCTAGTTAGTCGCGTAGACATTTCATTATTCCAATGATTTCATCCAAACTTGATAACCTATATAATTAGCACTATCGGGCAGATTATCAGTGATTTAGAAAGCATCTTATCAGGGAATGGCGCTTAGCTTTTGTGCTCTTAATGCGTGCTGTGTCACTTATTAATTTTGCGTGACTTTCGTTTAAGATCTTGATCTGAGTAAACTCTATGTCAATGGAGGTTTAAGTATAATTTTTATTGACATCTAATAAAAATGGTAATTATTCAACCTGTTTCATATGACTAAAATTGAGCCCCCCCTCTATCTCAGCAGCTGATATTTTTTACTAAACACAAAACAGACAATTTAATATCGCAAACTTATAAATATCTAACCGCAAACTCTCTCTCACTCTCTCTCTCTCTCAAAAAAAAAAAAAAAAAAAAAAAAAAAAGAAAAAAACCGAATTGTGCACGGACACAATCACGCTCCGCACATAGCCCTTTACCATTATTTCTCAGTATCGCGCCATTACTTTAACTTTCAACATACTGGAATGACAGAAAGTTGACTTATTTCACTACGAACATTGTAAAAGAATATGGAACACAAAAATGGATATTGGGTTCCCACAATGTGTGATCACACAATATGGCCAAGGTGATGTATGTGCCGCTTATTTTAACTGAGACACAGACGGCCAAAAGGCATACATGTTTGAGATGTCCAGCCTTTCACCACAGCAATAAACTCAGGAAAATATACGCATGAAAGATTTCAGTTTTGGTAGGCTTAAACGGCCTGTATTTATATGTTTATTTTAGTGTTGTAGTTAGACAGAAAAGTCCTCTGTAATTGACCGAAACGTGTTTATAGTTCGAAAACATCAAATGAATAAATTATGTACATGTACATGTACATGTATATAAATGGTAGAAATGTACTGTTAAGGTATTTGGATTGACCTACAGAAGCTCCGTGTCTATCAGTGGTCATTGTCATGTGTTAAGCACGTCCAAGCCTGGACATACAGTAATGTAGGTACTTGTAGACAAACAATGCATCCATCTCCCTGTCGACCAAAATCAGCGACATCACCGGCTCGTGCAGCAATTACTACATGCGGCCTTTTATAACACTAATGGTTTAATGTTAAAAGTGGGCATTTATCATCAATTGTCTTTTTTTGTCTGAATTGTGTTTTATATCAGGGTAAAATATGAAGGACTTCTGTCAAAAGCTGTGTTAATGCTATTTTGCTTGAATCATTTTGCCTTGGAATGTTTTTATATGATTTAGAAGAATCAGCCCAGTTTTAACTTCTAAGGAGACTCGTAAAGATCTAACATTTATTCACTGTGTTCTGAAGTAGGCCAGGCTAAGACAATTTGTACCATACCCGCCTTACTTCAAAACAACAGCTCATATTTGTACCTCCTCTTAATGTTAGGCCTATATGTGAACTCTTGAAAATCAAGTCTAAAGATCAAGGTGTGAACGCCATTAGTAGTAGTTTAATACTCATCTGACGTGATAATAAAGTCATCTAGAGGACACGGGATTCTTTATGGACACCTTGTTCTATATGATGGAGTTTCCCAGGCGAAATAACGGATAATTCTGCACCTGCTTGTACAAATACTGCTCATGTTAAAGTAACCAATGATCGTCACCGCCCGGTCTTGCATTTCCGACAAAATGGCGGTCATTGCACCGTCCCGTCTTCTGCTATCGTATTTAGGTTTTTATTTAGTTAAACGTGACATGTGTGTGATCTTTGCCTATTTTTTTCAAATACTTCAACCACTAAACCAGTTGCAATTAGAGCTTGAAGTTTTTATATTACACAAACTATTGACAAAGGCCTAGCTACCTGTATTTTGATTACTTACTGAAAAATTCAGTCTATTTCAAATAAAATGGCGCTTGATTATTCAAACCATAACTGTCTAATTTCATTTTAATGCAAAAGATCCCCTCCCCCAAACACCCTTGTCCTTTGAACGCTTCAGTGTTTGAACTCATTGACCGCTTGACGTTTAAATAAGGTAATGCTTTTTGACACTTGTGGCCTTGTTCAACAGGATGTTTTACAAGATATAAAACACAGATATAAACAAGAACTAGGTTGTCGAAATCACTGATTATGTACTTGTACATGTCGAATGCGGACAGGTTTTTGGAATGAATTAATAAATGTGTAATGACGAATGTGTATATTAAAATAAAAAATAAATACAAGAATTGTGTAACGTTTACGTATTACGGACATTACTTTAAAATTAGAATACATACCTGTACAAAGTCCATGACCCAAACAACCTCTCCAAAATGGTGTTATTGCTTATTTGAAAATACACGAATTTATTTATTTATTTTAGTCCATCCCTGTCGTTTCTGGAACAACTACATCCGTGACACCATGGACCTGTGCGTATTCTGGCAGTGCGTTCCCCATCTGAGAGACTTCAGCGCCAAGGGGGGCTGGTCGTTCCGGCCGGTCAAAATGCCCTGTGCTCCCGGCACCAGTGTTCTTCCTAGCTATAAAGACGGGAGGAAGAACATGTTCGACCCCTATATTGATGAGAATGGGAAGTTTATGAACGTCAATCCGTGCGTGGGACCTAGGATTGAAAAATGTATCAGGTAAGTGGACGCATGGACACGTACAAGCATGGAATGGAATAATCTCGAGATAGGATTTGTTTTCCCTATGATGATGAATTCAGCCTACCCTGCCCGTCACTTCCGTGAAATCCGAGTGTTAACAGTTATCATTGGTTGTCACTTGTTACATCCATTTCTTGTACAAATATTATCAGTATATCAATATAGTATACAAAACCCCGCCTTAGACAGGCGGAACCGACCCCAGCAAAAGACAAGCCATAATATCTCGTCATTAAATAAGAATGAAGCGTATTTTCTTGACTTGCCTTTTTTCGAAGGCAAGTCAAGAACTGTTCAAGTGGACCATTATGTATGTTCTGTAGACAATAAATAAATAAATAAATAAATAAATAAATAAATAAATAAATAAACCCCAGGGTGGAGTGGACTGCCTGGACGTCGTGGGGAAGCTGTAGCGAGGCGTGTGGTCCTGGTAAGCAAGTCCGTATGAGAACGTGTCCCAAAGCCGGCGCCTGCCCAGGAGACGAAACTGAAGAACGGCCCTGCGATTTAGGACCTTGCAGTAAGTAGATGTTTGCATACTTCCTATGACAGGGCTAGTCCTCTTTAAAAAAGTTCGCTCTCATTCTATTGAAAATTGTAGGTCCGTATTATACTTGGCAAGAGCATAGTTGTTATAAGTCATATTTTTATGCACAATGGTAGCTGTACCATTATCCATCAGCTGTAAGATGTCTGTAAATACATGTATTAAGATGTACCATGCGGTAAGTACTTGTACTTTAGATGGTGAAGGCATTTCTGGTAGCGGGTTGTTATTGTCATTCCCCAAATCATCGACAGTCCCAAATAAATTGCTGAAGATTATTCATTTTTAAATTAAAATTTAATTTAAATCGTATTCCATGTAATGTCCCTCTCATGCAAAGACGTTATATCTACGATTCTATACCCACGCAATAATACTAAGTAAAAAGTCTGGGTCTAAAAGACGCTCTGTATTGGTCTCGATTTGTAAAGTGTTAGAAAATTAAGATAAAGAAAATATTAACTTCTGTACAACCTATTTACCTGCATGGCCGCTCTGCAGGGGGTAAGGTATAGGTGGATATCAAAAACGGTTTACAAACATCTATAAGCATTCTGAGGCAGCATTTCTCGGTAATTTAATCATTATGGTGCTCTCTACAAAAAGTCACTATAGATCCCCTATGTAAGGGCTCATATCATCGATACTTAAAGTACACTTTGTCATGAAAGTGGCTCGGAAACATGTTTATGAATGATGGACACGAATACACCATGGCTATCTTCCAAACAAGAAAACCTTGTTCAGGGAGATTGATGCTGTAAGGATATCATTAAGGGTGGTACGATGTACAATATGGCCGTTGTCATTTCTATGGCAGTCATACGTAATTCGCAGAGATGCCCAAAACATCAACAATAAATGAAGACACCATGGACACTACACATACAAACTATCATGCAAGCAAAATATCTACTGAAAAAAAGTTAATCTTTATGGTCATTCATAGATCTGTTTTTGGCCAGTATCCCGCAACTTGTTTATTTCAAGAAAAAAAATGAGTTAATCCTCCAACAATTAAATAAAAATTGAACACTTTTTTCCTGATGATAAAAATCCCAAATAGCAAATCATACCAAATGACCATCTGACCATCTATAACATGAAATACCATTATTATTGTTATCAACCGCGCTCTCTGGCACTAAGTTTTGGATATACTTTGCAGAACAGAGGGGGTTGTTGGGCTTTTTTTGCTGTTTAAGTTTCTAACACATGTTCATGTTGATTTGTCTAACCCCGTATTTTACCTCTTGGCAGTGAGTGAGTGGAGCGTGTGGGGTATGTGCAGCGCCACCTGTGGTGGTGGGGAGAAACGCAGGACCAGAACATGTAAAGGGGACTGCTTGGGCATGTTCACGGAGGAAATTCGTGCGTGTGGGATGGAGCCATGTAGTAAGTGTGTGCTCATTATGGGAGTCAGGTACATGTACACCTTAAACATACTGTCTTGTTTCTTTGAAATCAGGGTTGCAGATTTCTGTTAAATTGGTGATTTCAGATTGGTAACTTAATCCCTTGTTTTTTTTGTGAGAGGTTGGTAATTTGTTTGAGGGGAAGGAGAAAGGGTTTCTTTTCCTTTTATTTTTTTTTCAATGGAACAAGGACTTTGAGTTTATTCTTTAGATTACGTATTTGCATTATTTCACCGGTTGTTACGTCATATATGTGGATGACGTCATGAGGTGTTGGCACGTTTTCATAGTCTTTTCTTAATAGTTGGGGAGTGGGTAGCGTGGGAATCCGTTCAATGCAGCGCTCCCTGTGGTGGTGGCACTCAAACCAGAACGAGGCCATGCAGCGGATACTGCGCTGACGTGGAAACGTCTCAGACAAGGACATGCAATACGCAACCTTGCAGTAAGTATATAGCAGCTGATCAGTCAGGTAAATGTATGTACGAACGCCAACGGGTACTGGCGTGTTCGGCAAGGCAATATGAGCTTGGCTTTCAACGCCTTTATGCTCGTGCCAATATATCACGAGTACATTGTTTGATACTGGTATACAATACACTATTGCATATGGTCTTCTGCGATGTACATTTGCAACAAGGTTCCAGGAAGACCAAATATGTTGTATTATTAAAAAAATACACTTTTTTGATGATTGAATACCAAAAAGCATACCGCATACCGTTGGAGAAAAAATTACCGTATGCTACGAACTTGTTATACTTCAATCATCAAACTTGGAATCAGTCTCCAAAAATTTGGAGCTCATGGTTTATAAAAAATCTCGTTTTTTTTCAGTTAAAGAATGGACGATATGGGGCGCTTGCAGCAGGACGTGCGGCAGCGGTAGCCAGGTCAGAACCAGGCTGTGTACTGGCAACTGTGTGGACGTGGTCACAGAGGAGACACGCCCTTGTGGACTAGCACCTTGCAGTGAGTATTTCACAGTATATACCGGTATATATTTTGGAATCTTATTAGAAATTTGAAATTTCAATATTAATTGATTTTGTTAGAACAACGGTACTAATAAAATATGTATGCTTCTCAACAGTTGGCGAGTGGGTGGCATGGGATTCTCTGTCACTGACCCAGACATGCAGCGCCCCCTGTGGAGGAGGCTTACAAACCAGAACGAGGCCATGTGAAGGAAATTGCGCAAACGTGGAAACATCACAATCTAGACCATGTAACACACAGCCATGTCGTAAGTAGAAATTTGAAAAAAAGAAAGGAAGGAAAAATAAATTAACACAAAGTATGGTATTTTGCTTCATACATGGAGAGGGAATATACACTTTGTCTTGTTAGTGGCCGTATATGCTAAATTATCGGGAAAAATCAATAAAAAGAAAAGGTTTCTCACAAATTTATCGATAAATTGTATCGTAAAGAAATGACAAGGAAGATCACTTGTGTTGAAATTAAGATAAAATAGAAGTTGAGACAAAACTAACGTGTCAATCCAACAATTCCTTTACATAAATCGACTTTTATTTCTCAAAAAGAACAGTTATACATTAATATTTCACCTTGCAGTTTTAGAATGGTCCTCTTGGGGCGTTTGCAGCAAGACATGTGGAAGCGGTAACCAGGTCAGATCACGAGTTTGCAATGGATACTGTGAGGGGAAAAGCTTACAAGAAATGCAGTCTTGTAATATGCAGCCGTGCCGTAAGTCAAAGTAGCAAACCCACTGTTGCATATTATGTTTGATTTAAAATATGTACTCCATTCAGTAAGAGGGCTATGATGACTTCCCACAGTTTATCTAATTAAACTTTATTAACCGTAAAGGTTAGAAAACAGTGTATGTTTATTATTTGGAATTTTTTTCGTCTTACCTAAGAAACGACATTAAAAATCCAAATACCTTTGATGTAATATATAACACACATAATTAAAAAACCTGGTACTTTAATCAAACATTATATGGTCTTTGAATATCGTATCTGAAATTAAAAACTTTTTTGGGGAAAATAAATGCGTACATACACAAAACATGATGGCGTTTACACAAGCACGTGCACTTCAACGTCAGAGCCTCTCTTTCAGTGGGAATGTGGAGTGTGTGGGGCTCTTGCAGTGTAACTTGTGGCGGAGGTGAGCAGATGAGATCGAGGTCGTGTGAAGGAAGATGCCAAGGGATCCAAACTCGGGAATATCAGCCATGCGCTCCACAGCCATGCAGTGAGTAACGATTAAACGAATTCTTCTTTTCAACAAAGAAGTTCTGAGTATTCATATTTTGGTTTTCCAATCAGCACGATGTATCTAATTCTCAAACATTTATTTCCAACATAATTGTTATTAAATGACTGCCGTGGCTTTTAATGTCTGATGAAGGTCTGTTTCACTTGTAAAGATTTATTAGCACATTTTTGAAACTTTTTGCTTTAACCTTTCCAGTCGGTAACTGGGCACCATGGGGTAGATGCAGTGTAAGCTGTGGTGGTGGAAAACAAATGAGATCCAGAACATGTAGTGGAAACTGTCTTGGTGTTTCCACAGAGGAAACCAGAACATGCAGTGAACAGCCTTGCAGTAAGTTTGCACTAAGGCTTGCCATAACGAAGAAATGTGAATATGTAGCATCCGCAGAAAAAGGAAGTTTTTTTTTGGCGGCATTAATACGCTAGTTTTAACACAGTTTGAGCTTTAACACAATTGTGCTAAATCTAAATGAATGTGCAAAATATGATTTAATTGTTAACTTTATTTATTTATAACACTAATTACGAACCTTTCAGTCGGTAACTGGGCACCATGGGGTAGCTGCAGTGTCAGCTGCGGAGGTGGCAGTCAGATGAGATCCAGAACATGCAGTGGAAACTGTCTTGGTGTCAGCACAAAAGAAACCAGATCATGCAGTGAACAGCCTTGCAGTAAGTTGGGGCTGGGATTTTGCCTAAATTTCGAACTGTGGGTTTGTGTCATTGTTTATGGTGCCATTTGAAATGCACGTTCCATCTGCGAAGAACATATTCACTTCCTTGTACTGGTGGAATTACACGTGTGTGTGACTACACTTAGCACGAATCTCTCCAGTGAAAATAGGCATAACATGAATGCCTAACGAGTCCACTTTGATTGTATTGAATTTATTTATTTATTTGAAATGTCAAACTTTCAGTCGGTAACTGGGCTCCGTGGGGCAGCTGCAGTGTTACCTGTGGAGGCGGCAGCCAGCGAAGAACTAGAACTTGCAGCGGAAACTGCCTCGGTGTCAGCACGGATGAAAACAGGGCCTGCAATGAGCAACCTTGTAGTAAGTTTAGACTAGCCATATGCGTACATGCACATTGCAGCTCTCAAACAATAAAAGCAATATGCCTTTTAACAAAGGTTTTTCCGATCAAATCATAGTGGATTAGCGCAGTGGACCAACTGCTGCAATTATTATCTGTACAGCCTTGTTAAATTTTCTCTCAGATGAATCAAATATTTTAAAATTGTTTTTAAATTATTGTTGCATCTGAACCTCATTTTGCTGATTATCGGGCTAGGCTCAGAAACTCTTTAAACTCATACCCCTCAGAGTCAATGGGACTCCATGGGGTACTTTTAGAAATAACTACACAGCAACTTGGTTTAAAATGTTAATTTTATATGTGACTTTTTGTTAATTTGAGAATTATTCTTCACCTTCAGTCAGTAATTGGGCGCCATGGGGCAGATGTAGCGTCACCTGTGGCGGCGGAAGTCAACTCAGAAGAAGAACGTGTAGTGGAAATTGTGTTGGTGTCAGCACACAAGAAACTAGAACGTGTGGCGAGCAGCCATGTAGTAAGTTCACGTCCCATAGATTTTTGGATGCACTTTTTGAATAGTAGTGAGAGACTATGATATCCGATTCGTGTATTAAATCACCCTGTTTTATGCGTTTTAAGATTTTTTCTTGAGACTTAATCTACCGTATCAATATTTTGAAGTTAACGTACTTTGCTGTGCTTAATTTTTTCCTATCATAATCTCCTCTTGATTATCATTTATATATGAGTTTTTTTAATGAATAGCGCAATAGTTACCACTGTGACTAATTTTACTCTCACTCTCGGAAACTCTACTCTTTCATACAACATACATTAGTCAATCCATTTCAATAATAAATTAATAAAATAAATACTACCCAAGTATATGTTAACAGTCAGTTTCTTTTTTTAGTAAGCGAATGGGCGTTGTGGGGCAGGTGCAGCGTGTCTTGTGGCGGAGGAATACGCATACGTGAACGGTTGTGTTCTGGCAACTGTGTGGGCGTGGTCACAACCGAGAAGGAGGCTTGTAATACAAACACGTGCCCAAGTATGTGTATATACGTTCGTAATTGTTATCATATTAATGAATTCATTATATTGGAGACATACATTTTAAAGTTCGCAAACAGTCAGTTAATTTTCTGTGTTCATAAGATTTATTAAGTTTATGTGCTAATTTACTTTTTTATATGTGCTTGTTTCTTTGTTTTCATATTTATCCTTTCATTTTTCACAACATTACACATCTAAGAGAACAGAACCTGTGAGAGGAATTATATAAGATTGTATAAACAGTATAAGATTGTCTTAACACACAACTTTATTTCAGTCTGGGCTGAGTGGTCGGAGTGGAGCCGGTGCTCAGTGAACTGTGACGGTCCGGGAGAACAGCTTCGCACGCGTACCTGCATGTACGGGGGCACCCCAGGGGTGGACTGCCCGGGCCTTGCGTCACAGACACAGATGGGCTGTAACCCACAAGCCTGTAAGTATACTACATATACATTCATATAACAACTAGGGATGCTTTGATCGGTAGAAAGGGTGGCTGGTCTTGTTGGAGTCAAAATGTAGGAGTACTCACGCCAGGCGCCATGAAATATCGCAACATTGCACCAGTATGCCCCTCGAGCACCGTAGCAGAAAATACACACAAAAAAGGCATGTTTATCCAATCCAATGAGGGTTCTGGTCATGGACCTTATATATTTGTTTATCTTATAAAAATTAATGTTGCCTCAATTGACATTCTACGTACATTTCATTCAGGTAAATGTGAAAACATCGACTACAAGAACTTGGACACACCCGATGACGGCGATGGCGACTGGGAGATTGACATAGATAGAGTAGGTTCCCGTATTGACCTCACTCCCAACTGAGTTTTCATTTTGGCTCATATTATATGTAATTTTTGATTAAATTGTGTTTCACATAACGACGTAATTAGACTATACACAGAAGTCAATTGAAAAAAAAAATCTCCTCTGTAAAAATAATCAACTTTTCCGGTTGCCCTACATGAAAATCGGACTTGATGGACTTAAGTTTTTTCAGTGCTTGTATGATGGTTCCATGTTCACTGTTATCATAATTCTATTGTCTGACACGAAATATGATATTTAAAACCGATGATTTTTTTTTGAAAAGTTCTATCTGCTTCTCGTAAGGACTGTTAATAATATCTGATGTCATTTTAGGGTTGCCCACCTGCCGACGCTGACGGAATCCCTTACGTGGCAGTTGCTATTACCTGCAGACGCGTGGACACAAAAGAGGACTGGAGTCAGTCTATCCCCAATGCTCCAATGCCCCCCAACACCGACACGCCGTTTGCCATCCCTTGCCTAGCATCCGGTACCCCAGAGACCTTCTTCCTCAAGGGTTTCGTCTGTAACCATGCCAACGCGAAGAAGGTACCCGGATGGGAAAAGAAATGCCCGGATTTTGAGGTCGCCGCTAGGTGTTGCCAGCAAAAGATGCCTTCAATGCCCAATAATTCCACTTATGTTAAGAATAGATAATTTCGTTAGATCGCTAGTGAAAGAATTAATTGTCATCGGTGCTATACACATTGCTCAAAGAAGTGAGGATCTTTTTGTTAATTACATGTACAGTAGGCCTAAAACGTCGGTTTTCCTTGAATTTTGTACTCGAGTTCTCGTAATTGTTAGTTAGAGACATATGAATTATATACGGGTAACGTCAAATTTGTTTCAGTTGTATACGGATTATTATTTTTCTCATAGTTTTTCTGAGCGCCTGCCAATTGCTCTGATATGACCAAAATAGATAGGTGCTACACGCTATATATAAGAAAACATTTTACAAAGTGGACATCTTTCATGAAAATGCCCGACAAACAAAATACCCCAGATCAAAAGAAAAAAGAAAGAAGTTAATTCTATTAAAAAGGAAATTGCATCATATGCATATTTTATGCTATTCTAGCAAAAGTCTTGGTAAACCATCAAGTCATACCTTATCCACACGTGTCTGTAAATTGTGCCAAGAAAATGTTGTGAGGGATATTACGTTTTAGTAAGTATACGATGCATACATATATTAGCGGTAGCTTCAATCGCAAATCACTATCTCCATCTCTATGTGTACATGTACAGGATATATAACGTTGGAGTACAGTGATCAGCACAAAAAAACTGGATAGAGACAGATAGTGAAAGTAAAAACAGAGAGTTGATATTCTATTTCCTTCGTTCTTTCTTTCTTTATTCATTTATTTTATTCGGCAAAATTAAAAACTATTTATTAGGTCATTTTTTCTAGTTTTCTAAAACCTGTTACTTGTATGTTTGGCTGTATTAGCTCACAATATACTCGCAAAATAAAATTGATATCATTTTCATGGCACATCACTTTATAGAACATCATGAAGACTAACCATTTTGCTGACCTTAGGTTTGATGTCAAATGTGAAATGTGATATTTTCGATAAGAAAACTATTAGTAAATGTTCAGTCCTTTCTAATGGAAAAATGCATAAGGTCTCGTTACCATTAGCTCTTTTGGTCTTTGGAGCACGTTTACTTTTTATTTCTACAATTCTATGCGGCATTAAACTATTTTACATCTACTGGGTAATTCATTTGTGTTGGTGTAAAAAATCGTCTTTTCTGTTGTTAGTCTGTTATTATTATTATTATAATAATAATTATTATTATTATTTTGGAGACAACCAATCTGTTGCCGCAATTCAACTCGATGAATATTCCAGTTTGCCCGGTCACATCCATTATAACTCATAGTCAAGATTGTATAGTTGAATCCAAAAGGTAATTTATTCAAGAATTGTATACAAACTGTTGAGCAATTAATAAATACCATCAGTTGTACGTGTTTCGCCTTTAGTCAACAAGAGACGCTTCATAAATATGGAATGCCGCAAATTTCAGTTAACACAATGTTGTGATATTCATAATGACAATTGACGGGTGACATTGTTTGTATGTCATCTAAGAACATACAATATATGACATTAGTCCGGACTAAATCTGCCACGGGCGCCGTATGATGGTACGATTTAATAAATTGTCAAGCGTTTTGGCATGACAAAATCTAGAGATTTCGTACAATTTCGCAAGGCAACAAGCCAGTCTCCGCAGAGACGTCGCACAAAAAGGGATTCGCAGGCAGTGTACGAGCGCCGTACCGACATCGCATGGCAAATGTAATCTAGCCTTTTGGTGGGTTTGCTATGCACCCCACATGCGGCGGGAAACACCTTGTGACAAATATGATATAAAAAGTAAAATGGGCATGTAATTATCTTATCCGATGGAAGTTTTGTCAATTTCATATCAAATATAATTCTATGAAAAATAATTAAATCGTGTGATTTCCATTCATGATCAGGTACATATTGTATATGACAATACTTGATATAATAACATGACTTAGAATCCTCTGCACCCTAAGCGCTACCATCACAACCCAATATATATACATGTTCAAAATAAAATCACATTATATAATTATGATCTTAATCAGATTACCTTTCCTTAACACGATTTACTTGTGACTAGATATCTCATCCTTTGTCGCCAAATTCCTAATTGTGACAATACGACTTTAAAAGGTTTACAAAAATAAGTTCATGTCTTATCCATACTTAGTTTATAGCTAAATTTACATTGCAATTAAATGGTCGCGTCTTTTACCTCAGAGCATGGGAAAAATAATCTCCATTTCAATTTGCATGATGGTGTTAATAACAGAGACATTGAAACGCAGGAAAAGAAACATATCACATGGAGAGGAGAGTAAATATGAGGAAGTTTTAAGACTCCTACCACACGTCGGTAAAGTTGCTCTATATCCAATTATAAATTGGGGGCAGATGAACATGGAAATGTGCAGCTGGTGCTTGACATGAATCACGATGGACATGGGAAGTGCAATAAATGAAACGATCGTGTCACTGAAAATATCTACTGAAGAATCTCTTGAAGAGGGAATGAGGTCAGCATTTAAAATCTTGTAATGTTTGTTGAACTATGACCTATGAACTATGACCTTTGAACTATGATCTTAACGTAAATGCTACAAAATAATTATAGTGCCTTAGATGCTATAATACTGCACTTTACCTGTCGTATCACAGAGCGCTTCGAAGTAATCTTCACAAAATGTGTTTAAACGAATTTACTAAAGTCTGATTTTTTGGACCTTCTATTTCATGATGCATCCATCGAAATTGGACGCTAGTCATCTCTTCACAGCATGACAATTTTCACAGTCTACCTGATTCACACGGAAAAATGAAATATCTGTATCGTAGCTTAACCGGAGACCCTTTCGTTATCATGCCAACCGCCGACGTCATATATGGAAGGCAACAGTATTAATACATGAACCGTCAAAAAATGTTGAGGCCTATGACGATTACAAGCAACTTTAACTACGTGGAAAGAAAAGCTGAGGTCCGAACACAATGATAATTAAGTCCTAATTCTCAAATGAAAACCATCCGAGATAGCCCTACGTCGTGAGACTTAGCGCAAAATCGAACAAGATAGCGCGAGATTTGGAGGGGGTGGGGTCAGAAATAATGGCACCCGAGCTAGTATTGCGCAACCGCGAATAAAAACTGACAAAATTTACCAAGGGATATTTTTCTATTCGTTATCTCTTGAAGCCTGTGAATTATGCACAACAGTACGTATTCATTATAAGAAGCATATTGTTTCTGTAATGCTTTTTGACGACTAAATTCCCGGCCCATAGTTTCAACATTACTGCCTATAAGGTTAGCCCCGCTTCACGCCGATTCTGACACGTTTACAGGTCTCGTATGATACACACAGCACCGACCGCCTCGTTTTGGCTTTTGGGCTTTTTTTTCGGATAGTTTCCATTAAAACGGGTTTCTTTATCATGTAAAATAACTTATTCTTTGTAGCTGCAGATCTTCCGCGAACTGGTATGACGGGCCTCCTCAAACCTGACATGTGTGGGTTACATCATACTAAAATCAGTATTAGGTAAAATCTGCAGCTACGTCGTTTTTTAACTATCGTGTTTTAATATTGCTATAGGAGCACCATATTTGACTTGCTTTGTACACAAAACTATATACAAACACTTCTTTGAGTGTTATTGTGTACAACAGCAATGGTCGTTAAAGCTGTTTAAAACTGCTTACCTCAAGCAACATCAGTGATTTAGTGCCATTCTTAATACTATTACTTTTCTATACTTGTAAATGCAGTTTTTTTACATTTGCATATTTTACAAATATGTCCCTTGAAAATAAGACCAAGTCAACACTGAGGTTTTCAAACTATCTGCCTGTGCGTTACTTTCGTTTGGCGATGAGCTTCTCTATCTTGTTAATAATATCATTGACAGTGGGTCTTTCCTCTTCTTTCCTAGCAACGCACGTGATGCAAGTCTTCATGAGGTTGACGTCACGTATTGTGGTTGCTATGTGATGTATAGTGTATCCAAGGCTGTACACGTCAGAAGCAGTTGACGTAACGTAGCCGTCGTGCGCTTCGGGAGCTAGATGGGGGATCGAGAGACGCTCCGCTTCACTGGAGACTGCGTATTCAAATCCTCTTTTGTATGAAGCTAAACCCAGATCAATGTATTTAAGTTCAAAATCCTCATCGTCTTTTAATACGATAAGAATATTGCTGGCCTTAAAATCGTTAAAGAGGACATCTCTGGAGTGAACTGCTTTCATTGTCTTTGCCATGTGCAAGCATATTTCCCGCCACGTTTTCTTCAATTCGGCGCTGATCGGCTGTTTTTTGTCAATCTTACTAATGGCATCCCAAAGCGTAAATCCGTCGGCGAAGTTCTCCTGTACAAGCCCCCACTCAAGCTGCGACCCGTCCGTGACGTTGGTGCGCACCATGCCAAACATCTTGAGAAACATCCCAGTGCCCCTGAGAACATTCGAGATTCTGATCTCGTGCACTTGCTGTTTATACTTCGGTGGCGTCATGATCTTCACGGCAACACTTCTCTTCTTACCTTTAGTGATGTAATTTGCGCGATATACAACTGCGTGCGTTGAGTCACCTAATTTCACGGTCCCGTTCTGGTCGCGTTCAAACGAGATCTCGGAGCGTGGGATTCTCTTGATTACCGCCGCCATGTAAGGATCTCCATCGTCTGTTACATCAGCTTTAGTGTCATAGAAAGGAGGCTCAGGTAAGTTAGGAGACGCAGGGAATATATCCCCAGTCTTTTTAACCATGGACAGCAATACCTGGTAAAAATAAACCACATAATTTGTTAACATGTAATGCATTTAACGACTTGTTACTGCTTGAAGACAGAAGTGGGTGCGCCGCAAGAAAACGCAGTATATACTCCAGTGCAGTAGACTACTGCAATCATACTGCAAACATGCCTCAAAGCTGCTTCGAGTAGGGAGCTCATTAGCATATTTGAAACATGCTTCTATCATGCTGCTAATCATGCTCCTCCTCTGTACAACCCTATGTAAATATTGAAGTAGAATTGCAGTAGGCTATACTGCATTTCTACTGCAAATATGCTCCACACCACTACTGCGTTAATGCTTCTTTGCTACTTCGATACTACTGCATTTTCGTGCGCGCGCGAATTCTTTTAGTTTTTAACATAACAATCAACGCAGATTATACATACATGTACAGTAGGATCGAGATATCATCACAAATTATCTGAACATATTGCAACTTTTTAAAATGCAAAGGGTAACCAGGACCCGCCTAGCTATGAAAACTGGACATTCACACATAGATCTGCTGTAAACCTTATCACTTTACCTTTAGCTGATCAATCACGTAATCCATGCTAGGCCTGTCTTCTGGGGCCGATTCCATACATTCCTCAGCCAAATCCTTCAGCACGAATAACTGAGCGTAGTCGTAGACCTCATACAAGGCATAGCCTAGGGAGAACACATCAGACGCCACTGTGGTCGCCACTCCATCGTGTGCCTCGGGGGAAAGGTATTTCATGGATTCCCTCTCCTCGTCAGTAGACTCTGCGTATTCAAACCCCTGCTTGTAGGAGGTGTGTCCAACATCCACCAGAACGGGGTTCCCGTAATGGTCCTTGCCAAGCCTCTGGATGAGAATATTGTCCGTCTTGAAGTCATTAAATATAACGTCTTTGTCGTGGAACGCCTTGAGTCCTTCCGCCATCTTGAGGCAGATTGCAAGCCAGCTTTGGGCGTCGAAGTAGACTTTTTTGTATAGGAGATCCCACATGGTGAGCCCGTTCCCATAGTACTCCTGCACCAGGCCCCACTGGACTTTTTCCTTTACTGTCACTTTTGCCATGCCGTAAGTGACCGGGAACAAGTCGCTCCGGTTTATGTACTCATACATTCTTAATTCGTGAATAATTTGCTTTACACGGGGCTTTTTGAGGACTTTAACAACCACGCGCTTCTTGTCTCCGCCATCGGACGCTTTGAGATGAGCCAGATAGACGTAAGCGAATGTCCCCTTACCGACCTCCACGGGCCTTCCCCGCGTGTTCAAGATGATGGTGATGTCATTGCTGGGAATACGTGTCACGGGGGTGGTCACAAATGTGTCGTTGGTGTTGAATAATGAAGAGGAAACCTGTTCCAAACAAAATGTTGGTCAATGAATTTTGCAATGTCATTATCACTGCTGTGTTAACGTTTCTTTGATATCAGACAACTGCATGTACTTCAAATAACGTTATGGTTCCGTGAAGGTACTTACATTTTGTATGGATTCGATAAATTACAGAAATAGACTCTATTGAAAACAATTGCACCACTACATCCACCTATGGGAAACTTAATTGTTATCACAATCTGACAGGTAAGGCAGGACGTTTGTTTTACCTTACTCCTTGGCACGTTAGTCTCTGGCAGTGCCGGCGTTCTGGGGAACATCAGCGACGTCTCGCGGTCTAGCTCCTGTCGTATGCGCTTAAGACTGTTAATGATGTACTGGATGCTGGGTCTCTCCTGGGGGTCCTCCACCAAACACTCTTTGCCCAGGGGGAGCAGCTTGACCAGGTCCGTCATGTCCCCAACTTCATAGATGAAGAAACCCAGACTAAAATGGATTGATCAATGGTTATTCCAGTTAGTTAGTTCGTGGGCTTTCAAGCTTTGTTTAAGAAACGAGTGTGATCTGATATTAAAACCATTTCGTTTGACTACTTTAGTATCAAAATGACGGTCCGTTACCTTGTATTACTTTAATCAATTTACAATCAACTTTATATGTACCTAAATATATCAGATGCCACCGTGGTCTTCTCTCCGTCGTGGGCCTCTGGGGCAATAAAATCCATCTCTTTCCGCTCCTCTACGGTCGACTTGGCGAAAGCATGTCCAGTGCGATACGACGAACAGCCAACGTCAATAAGCTTCATTCTGTAACGTCCGTCCTCCTTGGCAAGTAGCATATTGTTGGACTTGAAGTCGTTGAACAGAACGTGTCTCTCGTGCAGCTTCTGCATTCCTTCTGCGGCCTGAAAGATGGAGGAATGAGAATGCGTTTGATCTCAACCAGGCACAACTATCGCAATGGGCTTATGGTTGAACATTTATCACATTCTCACCAAAAATGTGAAAAAGTTTGAAACGAGTCCGTCAAGTTGAATTAGATTTGGGACCAAAGTTGATGCACCAATGATTAATTGTATTACCAGTGATAAATTACATAATTCCTTTAGCGTGAGAACAAACATTTAAATTTCTAACAAAAGACCTTGCTCATCTAAGGCGATTTATTACACCCTTAGGTCCAAAAATTTAACGACCACTCCCATTCCCTCCATACTGCCTCCCGGGGCCACACTTCCTTTTTCTGAACCCCCAACCCATAAAAGTGTTTCCACTCACGTCTAGGCAGAGCTGCAGCCAGTTGTGAGGGCTTATAACGTCATAAGTGTTGCCACGGCTGTGGAGGAAGTCCCAAGCCGTCTCTCCATCCGCATAGTACTCCTGCAATACAGAAATTACATATCTGAATGTGTGTAGGAATTCGACTGCGGCCAAATGATATGACAGGAGTCGATAAAATGCCATAGCTTAGCGCCTAAGGGAAACATCGAAATTGCGCCCCTGTCTAAACACTTGACATCAATTATCTAAGATAACTTTGTAATATATCAAACTTTGTCATATATCAGTACTAGTCCTAGGAATGTGGCGCCCATGGCCATGTGCCCCAAAACACCATTCTCTAGGTATGCCACTTACAATAACTGTCCGTGTATTTAAATGTCAGTACAGAGAAAAAAGAATTTGGGATAGATTCACTCTTACACTTTTACCAAAATGCCACAATTATGATTTATGAAATGTAAGATTAAAAAAAAAATGACCGCCTAACTCCGAAAATCGAATCGATAGCCCCTTTCTTCTAAAAATAAAAGACCTATTAATCGCATCCCCATCGTACTATCCCTGACTAATCCAACGTATCAAGGAGGTAATTACCCTCCCATTACAATAATAACATCGCAACCTTGCTACTTAAACATTTACGGAAAACCTAATGCAATATTAGGGGCATTTTGAACAACTGCTCTAAATCTCGGGTAGTCTCTCTGCTGAGAGGAAGAGGCTGAAATTGTAAGTATTGTGCTGCCCTCTCTGCCTGTTGTATCCGCCTATGGCCCAGAACTAACATCTACATTGTTAACCGTCTTTGAGCTCGTTCCTAATGAAGCTAGCGTTACATACGTGGATCGACCAAGTGAGTTGCGTGGAATACTAGTACAGAAAAGCTGGTGATTATATGAGTACGCTGGAAACAAGAGAAGACGTGTTAATCTATTAATTTGATTGCATTCAGCGAGAGTCCCAGCGGAGTTGGATCGATCTACGTAGAACGAAAGCTTCATTGAGAATGAACCCTTAAAGTAGGCGTCCAACCCATACCTGTACCAGTGCCCAGGAGTTCGCTCCCCGAATATAATTTCTCGCAACTCCATATAGATCAGGAAAGAGGCCCGTATCCTTAAGGTACTCCAGCAACCTGGCTTCGTGAAATATCTGCATCGGTTTGTATTCCAAAAGAACTTTAACCGCGGCGTCCTTCTTTTGGACGCCTATCGCAACTTTTGCCAGGTAAACGTGAGCAAAAGTCCCCGAGCCAATGGCTACTGGTTTTCTTTTGTAGTCCTTGACGTAAGTTATGTTTGTGTAAGGTAACCTAGTAATGGCGGCGTTGACGTAAGGGTCATCCTTAGACAGCGGCTTCGCTTTTGTCTTGTAAAGTTCTATGGTCGGTAACATAGGGGTTTTCTTCATATCCCTATACCGCGGCGACTCCTCGGATCCTTCACCGTCATCGTAGAAGAAATCGTCAGGGTTTTCCATGGGGTCGTTTATAGCCGGCAATTCACTGTCTTCTCCTTCGTTGTTGTCATCTTCTTCTTCACCCGCATCGAAAGAGTCATTTGTCTCATCAAAATCATCATCGAGGTCTTCACTAAAATGTGACCTGGATATCAGAAAGGGATCGCTGTCGTCTGCTTTGTTGTCGTGCGCATGCGTATATATACCGGAAGCTGTGGCGTTTCCGTCCGTTGCAGGTGTCCCTTGGCTCCAATTGGACGAGGTAGAGCGTTTGGAGAGGTGCTGGTACTTAAAGAGTGGGTAGACGTTTGGACAGAATTGCGCATTTTCAATGAAATCTGAAAAAAAAAAAAAAAAAAAACAGACAGATGAAAAGCAAAGACAAGAGGAATAATTGCGCGATCTGAAAATTTCTTGAAATTATTGTTTTATAGTAATTTACACCCGTAAGTTACGCCATCATTAAATGTGTGATATGACCTTTGATTCGGTGAGATCAGTTCATGTCTGCAGCAAATTTCGTGGTTTTACGTTTTATTCTGTAGAAAAGTCCACACATCAGCGCCTTCATAAAACGATAACCGGAAAAACTACATCTCGCTAATATAAATAGAGCATACAGAATAAGACTGGTGTGATAATAATTTCCAATTATTCGCAGTCGTCATCATGTCTCATGAGAATATCAATTTAATTATCGATCAAAGTCCCGCGACGCAGTTCTGTTATCAAAAGAATTTTTTATTGACGAAAACACAATTTATCCATTCAGATTCGGCGTTGTATTCAATTAAGGTGATACGCACTTTATCTTAATTACTCAGAAGGACTTTTATCAGTCACGTAGAATGAATTCCCTAAATTCACTGAAATAAAAGCCTGGACTGCAGCCACTCGCGCGTCAAAGTCGTTTGCACATTTGACACTGTTTATTAATTTTTATTTGTTTTTATTGGGTTTGTTTTGTTTTGTATACATAGTCCTACAGTTCAATAATTTAGTGCATCCATTGTTTATATATTAGCATTATTTCGTTCCAAGATAGTGGACAAACAAAGTCCATATTTGGATTCAATATTTTGTAGAATTTCACGGTTAAAACCTTAAACTGATGTTCGCAATTAATATTCTGTCAATTTAAGAAAAGAAGGCATCTTAACATAAATGGTTTTTTAGCGTTCATTTTCAATATAAACATTACAGATACATGTATCTGTATGTCAATACAGCGGTGATTCTCATGTGTTAATAATATAATGCCCACTATAGATTCCTGTTCATCTGATAATAAATGTACTTGTCATACATTTATACAGTACCTAATCGCACGGGTATTAGTCACTCTGTCTTTTCATCTACCGAGTTCTTTTGTTCTACTTCTAAATTTTGCTCTAGTTCTTTTATTTGACGTCAGTCCTGCCCTACATGTTGTCTTTGGGGTTCACCGCCGCCATGTTGGTTTGACCGTCTGTCTGCCTGTTTGTTCAAATCGATATTATGTGTGTGTGTGTGTGTGTGTGTGTGTGTGCGTGTGTGTGTGCGCGCGCGCGAGTGTGTGTTCGTGATTTGATAGAACACGTGTGCTAACGTGTGTCTGCGTGTGCATTTGTGAACGAGATCACTACTTTTTTGCATGAAAGTGTTATGTGGGAATGCGTATTTGTACGCCATAGAGGACAGAATCATACCAATTAATTAAATAACTTTATTCACAAATAGAAAAAAACCATCGTGTAAATTTAAACCTTGATACTTTTGACACATGGGATTTTACAAACGAATACCAATTGACAGCAATTACATAAAATAAAAGAAATAAAAATAAAATGAATGCGATCACGGACTTTTTTTGACAAAAGTGCGAGGATAATAAAAAACATAGGCAGAGAAGAACACTGGTTTTGTTTGGATCCTGTACATAAAGAACGCCACAAGGAAGAAAGGTCTCGTATCTCTTTGCCGTAATTTGTTTTACTTACCAAAATTATACCAGGAGTCCCACACCGCCCCTCCATGACAGCAGACGACAGCGGAGAACAGCAGCAAGATCCATTCCATGGCTTTGCTTCTCGTCCTGCAATATGATCATATAATGATATTTTTTTTCACTTATCAGATAACCGTTATTTCCGTTTAAGAAATCAGTTGCCACAGGAAAAAACACTTCAATTTATGGACGGTGACAAACTCTCTCTTGGTGTAATGACGAGCATAATTCTGCTTGGTAAAGAGATGCAAAAAAAAAAAAAAAAAAAAAAAAAAAAGATAAGCAAATCAAAATTACTAAAATTCCGCCTCTGATAGTGGACGTTACAAAACCTCCTCAATCCTATCTCAGAATTTAAGATGATGGTTTCGATACCGTCCGATAATACTAATAAAAGACAACAGTAAAAGTGCCGCAGAGCTAGCCCATAGAACGGCACTGTACAAAACCTATCAGAACCCCCGCTGTGCAAAATTTCCCACCGTTCATTAGAGAAAAAGATCGATAAAACTCAACGTGATCATCCCAGACCAGAATTTAAGCAGCTTGTCTGGCTATTAGTTCGTAATTGTCATTAGGCAGTTAAGGTAATCACTTTTGCGGCTTGGATACTGGAGCCTAACTGGTTTCGATAATGAATTCATATTTACCAGTTGGACTTCAGTCAAATAAGAAAGGAAATGATCAAAGAATCCCTATGTCTGCATACGCAAATGTATTTACTTCAACCAAATTAATAAACTGAGTTTTCTGTTATTTCTTGTGGAAAAACTAGTACGTGTTACAGTAGGTCGAGCGTGCTAAAATCACTTGGCATCTCCAGGAGAGACATGAAAACAGCTAGTGGATAACTATGGAGAGAGAGAGAGGGGGGGTTATTTGCGGGTTCTTCTCCTTTTTCGAAATCAAACAATACCTTCTCTATTTCAAATGTGCTGCACATATATCGATAAGGTCTTCACTAGATCCGTTTTTAATACGCACACAAATGCACAAACACACACACACGCAGAGAGAAAGAGAGAGAGAGAACGAAAGAAATATAATTAGTGTCTAAGAGAAGCTTCTATCGGACGTCATGTCGGGAACAGATAAGTTGCAGCCAAAGTTGATGCCATTTGTTAACATTCTCGGAAACACAGCGGCCCACATACAGGAGAAGGTTTACTGATAATGGATATTGTATTCAATAAAATCACATGGTAAGCGTACACGCCAGAAGAGGAAAAATTATTAAGTTCAGGGGAATGAACTGTTTGCAAGCCATAGAAGAAAAATTAGTAGAATTGCAGCATACGAAGCGCGCGGTTGCGCATAGAAGACGGGAGGTATGTCAATGAAAAGAAATGTCATTTTAATTTTTAAGGCGTACAGTGTGTTATCTATGCGCACTTAACATCTTTGTATCTCTCTCCTGGTCGAACCTCGTGATATTTTGCAGGGTTGGCTTGGCAATAACTGCGGCATCCAATGTCAAAAATGAGCAAATCTGAGACGAAGCATACCATTTATATGCACCTTTGTATCAGCAAGCCATTTCATTGTTCAACACGGTCTCTCTCTCTCTCCCTCTCTCACGCACGCACAATTTAGGCCTACATTATCAAACAGATAGACAGCCTGCTAAGGAAATGTTAGGTACTAAGATAATAGAAGTTATTTTTTTATCCTGAAACAATGGGCCATAGCAACAAAATTTACGAACAGTGAATGCACTTCGTCTGTGAAGAAAATTGAAAATGTACCCAAAATGAAATTTCCTATATGGCTCTCTCTATATAGAAATTAGATCCAAAGTTCAAATCACCATAGCAACAAAAATATCATGGGTACCTACCTTTTTATAATCTAGTGCCAACTATTTATGCAATAAATGTAAGAAAAATCTATCAGGCGGTGATATCATAAGGACAATGCATTAAAATGAATTTTAAGCTTACAGCAAGGAAAGCAGGAGATTGTTAATCCTCGTCTCCTCCTACCTTATCGTAATATAGAAATCCTAACTGTTGTCTGGGCAGATCTCTAATCTCTAATTATGATGATTGTAGCTGGGCAGTGTGTTATAAAAGTTGCGGTATTTCGTAAGTGAGACACTACTAACTATGCACTATATACAGTGTATGAGAAATTTATCTCGCCCGAACACGCGACAACGGCTGAGATAAAGCCACAAACACGAACCTATTCCATCCACTTAAAATGGAAATAAAGGCAATGAAAAATGGCAAGGTGTGAACCAGTTTCACCTGAACCTTAAAAAATCTCAGGGCTGTCTTGTTGATAAGAGGTCATCCTTTAACCATAAACATTCTTAAAAATCAACCTTTTGCTTTCTTTTTTACATTTCATGTAACCTTAATGCACAATTAAAAGTGTGTGCATCTATCAAACCGCCATAAAACGTTCGCTATGTTAGTTTTGATGGTGATGCGTCTGTCTCCTTGTAAATTTGGATGAAATGCTGTACGTGGGCCAGATTTTTCGGGATAATACCGGTTCTGACCGGTTTTGGCTGGTTTTTGACTATAGTTTACCATGGTAACAAATGGCCTGTTTCCAAGGCGCACTCGCGTCATGCATGACGTCTGATACACATGCGTAGACATATGACATGGAAGCCGCATTTGAACCTCACTATATGTAGCTTTTAAATCGACGAATACAAGCCGAACAGTTCAACTACTAGCATTTAGATTCATCTGCGAAGAAACTAAAAAACATACGAAATAATGTCCTTTTTTTTACCTTTTTTACTTTTCTCCAGTTTTCTTGTAGCACTCGCGAGCTGTTGCTATGGCAAACGTAAACATCCGCGGCATACTTTTTATTTTCAGTAAGTACGCCTCACCCGCTGTTCTATTAAAGCAAACTCACATGAATAATTTATAAGAAAGCATACTAAGATGACTGGATCTAGTTTTTTAAAACTATTTTTATTCCACACTTTTAACCCGTGTTTTTACATGTGGGGGTGATAGCAAAAGCGGGTGCATCCGTCTAACCGCATTTATTTATTTAGACGTCCAACCAGTAATGATTTTGATAATGTTGTGTCTGATGCGTTACTAATTTAAAAATAAAATGTTGTTCATGCGCTAAGTCGTCCAGGACATTCTGAACAGAATTTACCGCGCATACATTAACGAATAATATGTTTCCAAAGAGCACAACAGTCATGCATGTCGCCGAGAGCGCATGCGTAGACTCAGAGCTTGGAAGTCGCACGTGGGCCTCATAAAACTTAGCCGCTAAATCGTCGGATAAAAGTCAAATAAATCAACATTTTGGTGGCATATTTAATGTGACCTAAATAATGCCCTCATTTTCCCTTTTTCATCATTCTCCCGATATAACCCTTATCACTCGCCAGTTGTTGCCATGGTAATTAAACGTAAACATCTCCGCCATACTTTTCATTTACAGTCATTTCAACCCACCCACTGTTTAACTACTGCATACTAACATGAATTAAAATTTTATGAGAATACCTGAGATGACTGCAACTATTAAAATAGACGTGGCTCTATTTCACATCTTAACTCATGCCTTGGACTTTCTTGTCTTGCACGCTTTAGCGGTGGATGGGCAAAAAATGTGCTAAAATCCCTCTTCCAATTCTATTTTCTCTCTGATTAAAGCAAAGCAATATGTAAATCATGATAGTATATTGGTATTTTCGTACGGTTCTGCCTAGAACGCATGATGAGAATGCTAAATATAAGAACTTGTGCATGTAACGTACGACAGTGAAATGCGCATATCAATTTTAATATAGCGAGGTTGAAATTAATTTAAGGTTGCAAACAGTATTTGTTTCACCTTTGTTTACACAAACGATATATCAATAAGTAAGTGGGTGTGGAATGCTAAATTAAGACTTGGTGGTTGGATTGGGAACTGATTTTCTCCCACCAACCAAAGAATCATTCATCTACAATGCACATTCAAACTTCCACATAAAACGTTAAACAAAAACCACTATCTTTGTCTTCTAAACTTTCAATGTTATATTAGTGTACAGATATACAGGTAAAAATGTAGGAGAGAAGCAGTCTAATTGGTAATTATATTAACGAATCTGACGTTTTGCTTCACTTTTAAAAATATAATAGGGGGAGATATCTTAAAATATCTATAGCAACTGTGGCTTTTAAATAGAGCCGTTTGGTCAATTAGCTACATGTACAAGCCTCTACTGTATATATATATACATGAACCGTTCTTTAATTCTCACACACCTCCGACCTAATTTGTGAAAGCGTCCCATTCTCTTCACAAACCACAACTTACAAGTACAAGAGAAATTCATCTGATGTCTTAGTGTTTATCGTTTGTCACACATGCACACACAAACACACACAGATAGAGTAGAGAGATGAGGGGGAGGGAGGCAGGGAGGGAGAGAGGGGGGCTCCCTTCCTTTATAAACTGTAAACTGTCGATTTCACCCCGTCATACAGGTACATGTACAGCTCTCTCTCTCTCTCTCTGACACACACACACACACACTGACACACACACACACACACATACACACACTGACACACACACACTTCCAAGGGTCGGAACCATGGAGGTCCATGGAGGCGCTCCCTCCACACACCAAGCTACATGTACATATGTATTCCATTTCTGTAGGTTTTGTGCTAATGTTTGCATCATGGAAAAGTCAGCTCTTAACATCTACAATGTATATAACGCACACACGCACACACATGCCCACGCACATGCACGAGCGACACACACGTTATAAAAATTGTAATCAATTCAACAAAACGCCACAAAGAGGGCGCCACCGTATACTGCAGATCAGGACCTCTTGTGGTTCACGGTTTTTAAAGCAATGTTTTACTTGCATTGTGGTTTACATTTAAGATTTATAGACCGACTTATTTTCATAAAGTAAACAGGATGTCATGCATCAGACGATGTTTAATATGACGATGATTTAAGGAAACTTCGTGTTATATTTTCATTTTCATGATTTCAAGTCAGACATTTGCAGCCAATACTTTATTTATACATGTTCAATGCGTAGTATTAGAATTTGTGATCAGTGCATTTCTTCCGCAGTTCGTCATAGTGTACCCGGACCAAAACATTACTCTGCATTTCGGGAGGCGCACAAACGGGATTTTCGCTCTGTGGCATTAACTGTACATGTACCAGTACAACTCAACATGACTAACCACAGACGTAAGGCCACTGTCCACAGAAGATGAGCAGCCTGAACCGAAAAGAACCCATTTCAAATAGCCTACTGGATACGGTAAACTCACCCTGGAGGGAAATGCCTCGGTTGTCCCGCCCCAGTGTAATAATACTTGTAAGCTGCGTGTCGTTAAATAAATTACTTTTGTTATATGAACTTTTAAATGGACAGCAATAATTTTGACAAAACTGAAAGAAACAGCTGCTTTAAAACAGTCAACGATGAATTCAAATTGAAAAATAAATTAAAAACACTTCATAATTTCAAAAAATAATAAATACATAAATAGATAAATAAATAAACAGACTGGTTTTCGAACTCGAGCTGTTTTTTTTTTTTTTGCCATAGTTGTAGGTGTGATAATAATAAGTAACATTTTAATCATTGTATGCTGTTTACGAGTAAAAAAATTCACTGCAACGGCGACACTAACGGTGACGACACTGGGACAGGCACAGGTGTGCTTTATGTATGTGTGCACGCACGCAGTGCGTCTGCTTTCCGCCAGAAGAGGCCCTTCTAACCGTTAAAACTCCGGTTAAAGAACCTTTTACCGATTTTGTAGCAGCTGAAGCAGCCAAAAAGTCCACTGGTAGAGATTAGTGTCTGCCCATAGAAAGGGGCATGTATCTTCACTTCCACTTACAGCTGGTAATCTCGACATTGTTATCAAAACGCATATCGTCACCTCTAACGCACTGAAGTCTTACCTAGGCTGCTCTACATTAATGGTTTGTTAGAGATTACTGTACATGGAAGGATGGCGCCCGCAATTTCTCTTCCTCTTTGATTGCTGTACTAGTAGTTACCTACACAAATCTACAAAAAAGTCTTAACATGTCCAACAATATATATGTAGCCACTTGAATATCTATCACAATCAGAACATAAACGCACGGGTATGCGGCCTACTGTATCTACAAGAAGAGTTAACAAGGTAGTGAAGCATCGTAACCATTGCTTATAAATGTAATGCGGTAATATATCGCAGTTACATCACAGACGCTGTCAAAGTACCATGTACGCAACAGGATGAGGGCAATTCTCATGTCCCGAGTACACATTATTTCAACACCTTACCTCGAGAAGGTCACTTGACACACTTGACAGACACCGAAATATTGGAGAACAGTTACTTTAATCTTGACAAAGTGACATAGAACGTACCGGTACAGCTAGATCTTGATCCCTTTCCTTCCCTACCTGTACCGTGTATTTTTCCACAGCAGATTACACTATACCGCCATGTTAGGTCGCCCAGTAGTTCGTAGTCTCAGCGTCCATATCAGAGTATATTCTATTTACAGTGCAGTGCTGTATCTAAGCCCCGCCTGGGAACTTACGGTGTGCGAGTCAAGATAACGGACACGGTTATCAATGTGGGACTTAGATGCCCTGACAAGCTGGTACACTTTTGGTGACAGCGGAGGCGGAGGGGGATTTTAAAATTCCTCATGCGAATGCTAGATCCGTTTTCTTTTTAAAAATCTGCAAGCAAAGCCCCGATTACACAACTGTGCAAGTCATCGTGAGATAATTTTAATGTAACGGGAATGCAGCTTTTATAAGGGAAAACTGTCCGTGGATGGGAGATCAGAACAGTGTGACGCATCACGATTTACGTGACAACACTGTCATGCGGAACACATCTGGCAACGAGTACATGCACAGTAATCCATAGAATCAATTAAACAATTTACAATCACACACACACACACACACACACACACACACACACACGCTTAGGTGCTCGCACACACACATACAGTGTGAACATTTATTTAAAATAAAACCCCTTTAAGAGGGCGCCACCGTATAGGCCTACTGCAGACAAGGCTGCGTACATTGGTTCACAGTTTTTAAGCAATATGTTTAATGTGCGTTGAAGTTTACATTTAAGATTTACAGATTACATATTTAAAGTTTTATATTCAAAAAGTAAACAAGACTGTCGTATGTCAATAGGCAGTCTAAAAAAAAAAAAAAAAAAAAAAAAAAAAAAAACGACGAGAACTTGACGGACTTTTATTCCCTGGATTATCGCCATAATCAGATACTTGCTAACTGCCTTATGCTGAGACGATTTCTAATCAGATACTTGCTAACTGTCTTATGCTGAGACGATTTCTAATCAGATACATGCTAACTGTCTTATGCTGAGACAATTTATGCTCCGTGTCTTCCGGTACTCACTTCTGCTTATCTGTGACTTATCTGTGACAATGTGCTTGGGGGGAAAGGTGGAAAATGAATGAGAACACCAAGCACAGTTATGAAAGAGTCTCTCGTCGTCATCATGCCCAGAGGGACTAGGTAGCCAGTACCAGTGTACGTGTACTTTGTATTACAGCCAAAATACTGTAGGTACGTGGGTTATTCACAAGGATGAAAAACAGCAAATTTTTGAGCTTGTTCAAATTTCAAGTTTTATTTCAAAACATCTTTAAAATGTATAAATTATTCTAGAAATAAACATAAAGAGGCTTTAAAAAATAAAATAATAATAATAGTGATACTAAAACGAGGATGTACAATAAGAATGTCTGAATGTTATGCTCGTCCAATATGCGGTAGCGCAAATATAGTAATCGGTTGCACACTGAAAACATTGTCATCAAAACTATTCGACTCCCTATAAGGTACCCCACCTATCTAATTTGTGCTTGGAACTCCAAATAACTATTTTGGTGTACCTTCTGAAAATAATTTTAGACAAAGGTTCATTCCGTCTGGCAATTACCTGTGTATCAGTAGAGTACACATGTAAGACCTATTTTGGCAACGTACATATTTACCATACAACATTCCTGGACATTATTGGACTCTAATAACAAACCTAAGCATCAATTGGACAAATAGGGTGAGAGGACAAAGTGGAAGCTGTTGCACAAGACTCATTTATAAACCCCTACCATAAATACGATATTACAGATTACAATAAACAGAACACGTTCATCGTCATCAACAGTGTTATTTACATTTTTATCAATTACCAACATTAGGACAACCAGTGAATAGGTCCAAAAAGGAGGCATTTAACGCATGTACCCCAAAGTACAGTATTTCAGTTCAGATTTAATCTAATTCAATATCATTTAGCACTAATGGAGGCATTGCCGTGTCTTTGTTCATAGACAATATGGTGAGTAATGTGTCTTATTACTTATGAAAAAATGTACGGATCGTTTGCTTATGAAAAACGTTGGTCACTATGGTTGAGATGGCTCCCCCAAAATAATGTCAATAGCACTGAAAAATGTGGCCTTCATCCTCCGTGTTGACAATTATTGCGGTTTAGATTCAACTTGTTGACAAGTACATTTAGCATAAAATTATCATAATATTGAAAGAAAATGAAAGTGTAAATTTTATTTGGCCTTGACGTAAATAGTTATGCCCCCCCAACCACAACCACACACACACACACACACACACACACACCACTCGGGCACGCGTCAAGGAAAAGAAATAAAGCGATCCAGCAGATTTTGTCCTTTGATTTGGAAAAAAAGTAAAAAATCTTATCATATGCCAAAGCTTACCTACTGGTACTCTGTCGCCATGCCCAGCTTCATTATTATTAGATGAAACCAATGTAACGGTAGACTGAGATTTATGACAAACCCCATTACAAATCCATTGCGGTTTGATGCGGTTTTCCTCGTTAGGACTGGTCGAAAGATTTATCTCTCAGTACAAAATGGTCTGCTTTGTCTTTAAAGAGGCTTAAGATCCTTTTTGTGTCGATATTTATATATTAACGATATAGATGTATCGGTTTAATATCAGTGTAATTATGTGCCCTACAGGGGATTTAACTTACTGCACAAGATTGTAACAGGAAAGGTAGGAACAGTAGTCACATCCCTGTTAACACCGATAAAACTGCATCAATAAGATACAACGTTTGATGTGAAAAGACCGTTAGGCCATTCACCGGTATGGTTACATTACAATTACCGAAGTTTAATGATGATTTAGCGTACTTAAATCTGACTTGTATGAAAAATGATGTACTAGTTCACTGGCATTTTAGGAGGACAGCTTTAAAAAGATCTATTAATATATCGATTAGCTAATGGAAAAAACACGGGGAAAAGCTGCGGATTTAGCTGTTACGGTAAATGTTATTAGCATGGTAATATAGATGTTAGAAAAATTATAATGATCTGATCTATAACTTATGTATGGAGTGAGAGAAGATTCCGCTTCAAGTAAAGTCTTTTGGAGTCCAAGACAATATTTTCAAAACGGATGATAAATAATAAAAAATCTCAATTCCAGGAAAAACAAACAAACAGACAAACAAACAAACTAAACATGAGGTAGGCCGTAGCTTTAGCTTATCTCAAGCCTTACTCCACTATGTATTAGTGTCACTGTTTTTTTTTAGCTTTGTGAATGACTTACAGTTACATGTATAGTGTTTTAATAGGAAGCTTACGCTCGGTAAATCATGACAAAAGACAGCGCAGATAACGAAGAGGATATTATAACCAAGCTGGGGTACCCTCTTTCACATACCCTCTACAGGGCGACATATTGATTTTTCACAAGATATTCACAGATATGTCTTAAGATAAAAAGAGAGTCATTCGATTCTCTTACTTACCTTTCACTAACCCTTCTGTCTGGGAAAAACAATGTTAAGAACAATGTTGATTTCACGGACTTTTTAACGAAGATGATCACCCCAGTTTAACTTGATCTCGGATGTAACTATTATCTGGGCTATATTCTGATAAGTTCCAAGTGGAATAAATGTCACAGTTCGGTGTTTTGCTGCCGATCGCTGTCCTTGATAGTTGCAACCGGGAAGATGACTTCATAAAACAAAGAACAACAATCATCAAGAGAACGTAAACCCTCTCACAAAGCCCTCTGGTACGTATACCTGTGATTCCTTTACCGAAGACGACGTCCACTGTGTCACTAAAATACTTCACAAAGGGTATTTACTAAGTGGAATATCCCCGGGCACATGCTCTCGCCGCTTGTTCGGTCTCCCTTGCCGCAGGCTTATTTATGACGGTACATGGCATTCTTGACGGCATGTGACTTGTTGTCATCACGAGTGGGGTCGGGACGTCCTCTATCTTTATAGTCGTTACGATAAAATGAAAGGTGGACAGTTGATGATAATAATAATAGTTAATGGCCTTGGTTATGCCATTACAACGTGTGCTATTGCTACTGCCTAGTGCTCATCACTTGGAACAAGTTTATTGAGGGATTCAAGGCCTCCGGCCCATATTACCTACACATGTGTATTACATACATACAGGTACATGTGTATTACTAATACAGGTGTATATGAAACAATTAGCGAGTAAAGTTTTACTATTATAAAATTGCGGGCACTGAATGACATCCTATTACGGCAAAGGGAACTTTACTCACTTTCACAAGTTCAACAAAAATAGTTGTCCGCCAAGAACCGTAGTCCCTTCCCCCGTTACTTCGTACAGGTGACGTTTGTCCTTAATAATCACTCCAATATTTCTGGCTAAAAACTGACCTGTAATAATCGTAATTACCTTGTAGGGCTAGAATTTCACATTGGCCATGGAAAAATATATTCATATTTAAAAATTCAGTTTTTATTACATAGGTGAATTGAAGTGTGAAACTACAATTTTCTCTTCGTTACACTGCATCAAAAAATGCAATAAAATTCATAAGCCAAAGACGTCCTGGATCCAAAGAAATGAATCACAAAAGATCATATGAGATAATTAACAACCATGTTTCTGATCAACGTTTTATTAAAGATAATAATGTGTATTTGAAAAAAGTGTCATTTTACCAAACACAGTTGTTATAAGCTGTTGTTTTTCCCATAGCCAACGAAAAGGATGATTCTTTGATTTTTCTCTTAATAGATATGTAGGTTTGTATTTTTTATAGATATTGTTGTGTGTTTTATAAGATATTTAAGAAATAAAAGTCACGTCTCGTACTCACTATCTACATGCATTGCATCTCGCAAATTATTACACCTGCTTTCAAAAGGAATGCATTAACTGTTAAAACATTGAAAGCGACAACGTGTCAATTAATTGTCAATTCATCAGTGAAAGTTATATGTCACAGGTGACAACTGAAAATGAACTCATGCTTTCTACTCCGATATTGTTATAAACGCAGCTTGTGGCTAGAGAATCCTATACACCCGAAGACGACTTCATTTTCGTCCACATTCAACAGGCACCAACAGTGACCCAGGCGATGCAAATGTAGGTTGTTGCCGAGATACAATTAGCCCCACAGAAGTCATCTCACGGTCTATCAATTTTAACACAATGCACTGTCACTCTTTATCTCTCCTTGCCTGAAATGTGGTTGGAATTAAACCTACGACGGAGAAGTATTTGGCATTCTGTGAATATGAATATCATATATTTTCTTACATTTATCTATTGTCTATATAGTAGGTAAGTATTTATTACCAGACCAGCATTCCTTCAATAAACTGTCTTGTTATTCCTGGATATAATCAACTGATCTTCTTGAGGAGGCAATAAAATTAAAACAAAGCTGATTGATTCTACACTGTATTGAAATTTCGAACTTTTTTTAGCGAAAATACATTTGAGAAATAGTTCTAGAATAAACAATTCTTATTAGTGTTTCCTCGTTAGTGGAACGGGAAAACACTGCAGTCAGAACGTTATACTGATATCCCAACCCAAGTCGGCAAAAAATAATCCTCGTGGTTAGTTTCGTAGAATATTTTGGTGTTTTTCAGAGGCCAGTCTTTGTAGTAAACGGCGTCGCCTCTCGCCAACCATGCACCCCACCACGAGTACGTCCCCACTGACATGATGGTGTGATTACAACTTGCCAGAAGAGCCAGGTCTAAGGCGCCATCCTTAGCGAAGGAGCTATAAATAACACGTGGGTGTTGGACGTTGTCTTTGCACCATGCAAGATCATCAGAAACGACCACGAAAACTATATTGTTGTACCTAGTTTCGAAATAAGCCATAGCTTTGGCGAAGTAGCCTGGTGGGGCGACGTTATAACCCTTGTCACTATTAAGCGTCATGCTCTTGCCGTGACGAACGTGAACGCCTACGTATACAACGTCGCCTTTGGCGGCATCCACGCCGACAGAAGAAGCTCCCGTAGTTAGGAAGTCGTCGATTTTGTTTCGGAATTCAAGCTCCTTTCTAAATCGAAAGTGTCGTCTCAATTCATCTCCAACGTCTTTGAAATATTTCCACGACTGGAAATAGGTTTTTAATTGGACACTCTTGCGTAGCGCGTGAAGTCCCTCCGTCCTGTTGTCGTAGAAGGCATATTGCTTCTCGTGGAATTTAGCCATTGCCGCACCTGCCGGCATTTCTCGTGGGACGCTCTCTGGGATTTGAAATATTTTTCTGAGTATATCATTGCTTTGTAAAACAGGCGTCATGCCATTAGTTCGAGCGATGCCAATAAGAGAAGCATAGGCGAACATGTGGTTACACAACTGTCCTTTGAATTTGACCATAATAAAATGAGTTGACTTTTTCTCAGTAGCTGGTTGTTTTATTGGGAGTGCCACGTGCTGGTGAGTAACGTTAGCTTTGTAGGGTGGCAGTGGTGTCGATGGTGGTAGTGTCCTTTCAGCCTCTCTGCGGGATTTCGATATATTTCGTAATGGAAACGTCCTTTCAACCTCTCTGCGGGATTCCGATATATTTCGTAATGGAAACGTCTTTTCAACCTCTCTGCGGGATTCTGATATATTTCGTAATGGAAACCAGTCCGTTTTCGAAAAAAGTTGAAGTCTAAATTGGGTGATGATGTAAACATAAAGCGCAAAAATCATAAGTCCTATTAACGGCGTACGCCACTTGCCAGGCTTCAAGACCGCCCATAGATCTACATTTGAAAAAAAAAAAAAAAAAAAATGAAACAATATTAACACTCTAAGTCACCTCGACAAACAACAGTATCGAGACGTAGGATAATTTTCCACCACAGGCAATAACACATACAGGCAATAACACATATATCCTAAAAGATTTTTGATTTTAATAGTAAGATAGGTCAGCCTCTGATAATGAAAATCTTAGTGGAGTAACAATAAATCTTATTGAGACCACACAAAATTCATACATACATGTACGATTATATGAAAACTTACATCTATTAACGATGTAAAACAATGATCCAGTTAGATCATACTGACAGTCCCGCTGTAGAAAACTCTCTTCTCTCTGATTGCCCCTATACCCAACATATCAAGCTAATCCAATATCAAGTTTACTCTTAATCTATGTGCTTAACTTTCAGTAAAACTTACACTGAAAGTGTCTTCTATAAAGCATGGTCCCAATATGATAGTAATTGGTTATCTACATCTCCGATCCATACAGTTTAGTCAACGGCATGCAAGCTGTTGTGCATATATACTAGTATATTGTGTGTACCAGTATGCTATTCGGGGATTCCGTGGTTTCAAAGACATCAATTATAAATAAGCAAAGAATGCGACCTTAGGAGTCGTCAATACTAAAGCATACAGAATATTTTAATATGCGTCATTCTGCATTAAGCCGCCAGCCTCTTTTTCAGTTGGTTAACAAGGGCATACTTCTTTACTGCAAGGTACATTTACACGCATATTACAAAATAATAATAATAATAATAATAATAATAATAATAATAATACAGTTTTGATACAGTGACTGTAATGTAACCGGCCTGAGTATAGTTCGCACTTACAAATTAATATTTGTTTCAAGACACTTTTCTATTCGTGTCTTTCAATGTCTCTTGTCGCTGTTTTAAAGAGAATTAAAAAGCTTTTTCATTTAAAGAAATTCGGTTAACTTGTACAATTCAGTTTTAATTACTTTTGTAGTAGTTTTTGATTTATCTGTGCTTAGGTTTTATATACATAGGTACATGTAAACAGCGCTGAGACGCATGTGTAGCACGGTTTTAAGAAATGAATTATTATTATTATTATTATAATCATTATTATTATTATTATTCTCTGCATGTGGTCATATTGTCCTGTCTGTTCTCAGATGCAGTATCCTTAACTCTTTCCTGATTCTGGTAAAATTCAAATTTTATAATATTCCCAAACATCCCAGTTACTTCACTCTGGTTTATTTTGGGCTTCCGTTGTTTTCGCTTTGAACTGATTCAAGATGTGTACCCCATTTTGTTGCTGTGTACACGAATTCCAATAATTCTCCGTGTTATGTGCATTATTCTGCCTATCCACGGTGTGCATAAAAAACTTTATAACACGGACTAAAAAGTTCGGACACCTAAATTATCCCTACTTGCACCGGGTGTATGACCGCATTTCTGGAAGTGTACTAGTACTTCATTTTCAAATGAAAATGTAATCAGTGGGATTAGGGGGGGTGGTGGCATTGCGCTAATCACCTACATGTATTTCGTGAAAAAAAGTTGCAGATGCTGCGTTGGTAGTCACTGCACATATGTACAAAAGATGGGAATGACTTATAACCGGAGCGCATGAAGTGTCACCCTCAACGAGAAGACTGATACTTTTTTTACATTTTGAACTTACAGCATGGGCGATATTGTTAGTGAACAGGCCACTGCCCATAATACAACGCAGTAAGAGAAATATGGCTGCTTAATATTCGTGTTGTTGAAGTTAACAAATGTCCTTTTGTTCCTTGATTTCGTCTGAAAACATCTAATTCCTAATGCAAAAATGTCAAGCTTATATTCAATGCTTTTATTGTCTGAAATAAGTTGGTTAATAGAAGACAAAAACATACATAAAACATACAACAAAGTCGGGCTGGTATGGAGTTGCGTAAAGATATAATGGCAATTTTGATGATTTATATATACTGATGTTATAATTACTGGCGCTCTTCTTTTCTTGGAAGGGGCCCCCTTGGTTTGCGGCTCGCATTTTCTTGTCACGACAACGCTTTGGGAGACTTAAGCGTTTGGAGCGTGAATTCCCCCCTCTCTCTCCATAATATCACCTCTCTCTCCATAATATGTGTGGACTAATAAGGCAAGATCCACACTAAATAAAACAGCCATTTCGTCGCCTATGCAGCCCGTACCTTGTAGTACAGTGGGGATTACATGTACAAGCGGTTTATACACATATCTTTAAAGACGTTTAATCTCAAAGAGAAAATAATAATTTTAAAACGTATATGCCTATAAATAATATTGTTTTATCAAGATCATTGTAAATAACCAAAAAAGCAGTTATTGCAGTTCATTCCAATGCCTTGAGAAGCCACCAATTAGTAATAATCCTCAAACGGCATATTTCCATGTCGATTATGCTGATGCGTTACTCCATATACGGGCCTCCTTTGCAAATGTCCATAAATGGAATAAACGGGTTTCCTGTAAGTGGACGTCATAAAGTTCGAGTAGGGATACAAATTGGGCTCGTGTGTAGTTGTCCAAATTCGGTTCATTCCTCGTGCTCGTGTCGCTTCTCCTTCTGTGCAGCCGTTAAAGAAATAGTCCTTCTCGGACATTGGCCAATCGGCACCGGATCGCGACCAGCGTCGCAAGTTGCACGTGCCCGGTTGGTACATCCATGGTCGCTGTCCTGGCTCACGAGGGTCAACCTTCCTCAGTTCTTCCTTGACATCGCGGCTCAGAGGGAATCCGTTGTCGTACCACTTGTCCTGCCAGTTCTGGAAATAAAGGAATCATCCTACTATGGATTTTGCATGACCACAAGCTACTTGTACCTGGTACAAGTAGAAATTAATTCCATGAGTCAGAGAGACAGTCTTTTGGTGAAGGATAGGAAATATTAGTCAAGATATCTGATACGTGTGCATCTGTCTGGAATATGTTCCGTTTCACTGTTAATTCTTGACATTCACAATGACCATTCATTTCATTTTGCGAAGAATCGTAAATAAATGAAGGTCTCGTTATCAAAATACATCAAACAATGACTAATGACTATTTTGACAAAGAAAGCTATCCTGTTCTACCTTAAATATTATGATAAATTAATATTATGATCTGTTTGCAAATAGTATACTAACATGAGTAACGTAATGCTACCTTTGTAAGTACATGTACCCCCAGCATTATCTATTTAATAATTCTGTTTAATAAATTAATATAATAGTATATCCTGTATGATTTTGCAGATCACAAGCCTACCTGGTAAGACTGCCTGCCTAGAGGTCTAGTGTACTTCTCAGGAACCTCGCGCCTGCAATTCAAATACGGTGCAAATGAAAATTATAATTCCAACAGTCAAATGAGTATAAAATTTTGAAGCGAAGCCGACCCCCCCCCCACCCCCCTTGACGTGGGATTCGGGGCCCGAATTTTTTTGGAATTTTAGAGGGTGAACGGTGTCCTTTGGTACGTTTTAGAACTATGATTCAGTCAGTCAAAATTCTAATTTCAAGAGGGACCGTTGTTTTTTGTTCAGAAATCGAAGGGGGATGGGGGGTGGGCGGGACCCCCCTGACCCCCCCCCCCAAAAAAAAAAAAAAAAAAAATCCACCAATATGTACAAGTATTGGGTGTACAGTACTAGTGATATGGGGGTTCGTGAAATGCCTGTACATGTGAACTGATTCTTAAGGAAAGAAACAATGCAGGAAGAATCAACTAAAGAATGGAGAGAGAGAGAGAGAGAGAGAGGGGGGGGGGGTCGAACTGAAAGCAAGAAGAGGGGAGGATACTCGACGAAATGACATCTAGCGTTCATACATATATCAGGAACTGTAAATGAATGGATAGGGTGATTTTCGTGCTACATGTACATGTAGCAGAAACAACCTCACGAAAATATATGATATGAGCACATTAGTTTTAATGCGACAAAATGCATGGCACTTACCTGAACATATCAGGTGGCATGGGGTACTTTGGAACATTAGGCGGCACGTTAGTCCAGTACGGGTATTTCAGTTGATTTGTATTGTACACTGTCTGGGCAGCCATGGTCAACGTTCTCTTGTCTCTGTTCACCCCAAACTCGCACCTTGTTTGGTTTCGGTCGCTTAGCTCATTCGTTGTCAACACACTCTTAACGCTTTGATTTTGGACGCGCTTGAATTATGTTTTGTTTTTCACATGCGCCATTTTATTAAAAAAATAACTGAAAAAAATTTGATGTCATCACTCTTTCTGATTTTGTGTTTTTGAATGAATTACAGAGAAAAAAATCGTCATTTCAGGTAACACGTGAGAATAATGTTGTTAAGCGTAACTAGGAAGTATGTGACGCGTAAACAATAGCCGCTTATAACAATTTAATACAGTGTTCTTTTATTTTAGAATTTGAACAAAATTCAGTAATGTCGTCTGGAGAATAATAATTTAGAGATCCAATTTTAATGTATTGTGCATTTTGATACATAGCATAAACTTCTAAAGCTTCAAAGGCAACCAGTATTTACAAATATTTTATGTGTTGTAAGCGACCTCAGCGTATAGCAACAACAACACACGGCAACATGGCGGGGAACCCAGCTGTAGCACATCTACCTGTGTCTTTAACATGGTCCCACGTGAGAGAACGACCGCCACCACTGGCAAGCATGCCAGCGATGTGGTAAGTGTTATCTCTGGTCTTTAAACCATAAATAAACTCGACTAAAAAAACCCGGTGAAGTTAAGTGTAGCACTCTAAGTGAAATAATTTTAATGGTCTTATCATCATGCACTGTAACTATATATATATATATATCCCAGTACATGCAATGATTTCTAGTAAAAGATCAACAATGTTATTTACTGACAAACATGACAACGGTGTACTTTTAGGGTTATTCATCATGCATATGAAGAGTCCTACAGAAATATCCCGCGTTCTTATAAATATAATAATAAATTGCAAATGCTAACAAAAGAATTCATTTCAAAAATGCGTTTTCAAATAATAATAATAAAGGATTGAATGAAAAGTAATACTAAAACTTGTTCAAAAATCGTATTTCTCTCTTTCAAAGGCAAGCCAAACACCACCTCCACCCACCATACCACAGCAGTCACTGTGATCACGCCAAGGTAAGCTGACACTGCTTTATTAACTCTAGCTGGTACTCACTAGTTAATATTCACATGGCAGAAGAAATATGTGTTCATTCTAATGTAAAAGGGACAGTATTTTATTTATATTCATCAGACATAAGCCTAGGTTTCCAAAAAAAAAAAAAAAAAAAAAAAAATCTGAACATTTATCGAATCTCAGACAAGACGAATCTCAGGAACCATCAGAATTGAATTAAAAAACGCAGAACTTCGTGTTTCCAAGGAAAAAAAACCCTCATGTCTGATTCATAGGCCTGGCTATATTTTACTTTGGAGTTCAAGTAACTAAAATAAAAAAAGGTGAAAAATAAAAATACATTCATACACGTAGCAAAAATTTAAAAGATGTTACATATCATTACAAAAATTAACATAAAACAATAACGTCATTGCTGAACTTATTTTTGCATGTTACTAAAAGAAACACAAAAGGTGTTTTTTGTAAAAAAAAAAAATCAATACTATTTCCACAGTAGTTGCCAAACTTTTTTTACCTTTCTTACTTTGCCTTTGTAATCATAGATTTTTTCCTGTTCGTAGGGAGGCTGGAAAAAGTGGTCTATGGGATGTGCAGGCCAACATGGCGACTGGCACGCTGCCAGACCCTTTGCTTATGAACCAGACTGGTATACAAGAAAGGTGGACTATATCAGAGAAGGTAAAAATAACCTCAATTCTTATGGAGAACTATTAAATTACACCAATAAAAGTGTAATTAGACAAATGTTTTAAATTTGCACTGGGCATATTTTAAGACATAAAGAGGCGCTTCATTAGCTGTACTATATAAATGTGATTGATAACAATAATGATAAAATAATAAAACAATAAATAAATTTAAAATAACTGTCAACTTTTTTGATGTTTTAAGTGACCTGATTTTGTTATCATCAGAAAATAATATTACTTTGCAGGCAACTACAAGTACAGGTCTTGGCCCTGGGATCAAGCATCACATGCCACCACACGCAAAGGAGACGGAATACGCACATTCACAAACGAGACCATACGACATGAGGTATTAGAGCCACGTAACATAGGCTATACAGGAACTCCACAGCAATTCCCGTATGAGGTCCCACCACCAAAGTGGGGCTTGTACCATCCACATAACTATGAAGAACCAATCAGGTTCAACCATTTTCCACCAATCAGAGGGTGAAAATATTCAAAATGCAGACTGTCTTTATCATATGTCATTATTTGCATTTGCATTCCCCTCTTTTTTTGCTTTCTTAAAAAAGATTTTTACCATTGAAATGTATAATGATGACTGCTATTGTGTCAGTTTAAAACAGAGATCCCTTTTGATAACTTTCTTTTGGTCATGGTCATTTATAAGGATTTTCGACTAACCAATCCACCACTGTGACACTGCATGTGACAAAACAAATAGGGAATGCTATATGTTCAAGCAGCAAGCTTTTTCATCAACACAAAAGATAAATGATAAAAGAAAGCATAGCAATCTCCCTAAATATCTGGAGGGGGGATCAGGGTTCTCTAGAGCACTGAAAGCAATTTCAAAGCAGTTTTCAGCCTAGCTGCCAATCAGTTATTAGCGTGCTTGGGTTGATAATTATATATGCTACAAGTCAATATAGCCAACCTTTATAATGCAAGCCTTTCACTGCAAACTTCATCTAAGTTAAAAAAGAAGAATAAAAGCCAGGAGATCTATGTGCCAAGTGTAACTATGCGCAGTAGCATGAAAGCACCAGAATAACTTTACATGTGTACCTTACAGTAGTGTCAGTTACCGCCTGCTGGAGTCAACTTTTAATTTGGGTCTGTGGGTGCTTTTGTAAAGCTCCCAGTTGAATCTTTTTCAAAACTAATAACAACAAATAAGCTGCTATAACTGCAGACATATCTGATGGTAGAAGTGGTGACATGTTGTACATTATTTATGTCTGTATGACATGCTGGTATGTTCATTCTGAGACGATTTTTAAAAAAGTCAGACCACCTTAATATGTGATATGTGTCTCTATTCGCTTGGTGAAATTGCCTGGTTTCTATTATAGCAATTACATGATTTATTATTCACCATCATGCATTTCATATTGATATGGATGACTTAAGTCTTTTTTTGTTATGTATGTTTATTGTATTCAAACTGCAAAGTTTGTCTTGCCACTATATGTGTATATGTCCTTATTAATAAAGCTACTTATATGTAACATACAGAGTTTTGTGACTGACTAGAATATTACAAAATCTTTCTTAAAAAATAAATAAATAAAATATATTAATCGAGTGGTACAACAGCAAGAACTGTTCCCACATAATTAAATGAGTACTTTTTATAAACTACAAAAACAGTTTTATTAATGTTTGTCATAAAATGACATTCTTTTACAACAAGTCTTTGGGCTATGTTTTGTTACTTTAATGGCGCCACTTGAATCCCTCTGGTTACAGAAAAATTGCCAACACAATCCCAAGGTTTTTCACCTTTTCAAATATCCAACCTGAAAAGAAAAAAATAAATAAATAAATAATAATACCGCGGTAAGGAATCAATATTCAGGGAAGTAAAATTCAAAGGAAAATTTACATTTGATTTGTGACCTAAGTTAATGCCAGATTTGATCAAAACCAATTAGTTCCTACTTTCCTTCTATACTTCTGATCATATTACATTTAGGCACCATATGACATTCTACTTGTGGTTACAACCAAAGAAAAAAAATCATGTCAACAGACAGCCAAAACCACAATTATGACTATTGTTGAAAAATAAAATAAATAAATAAAAAATAAAAAATAATAATATCAATAAATAAATATATAAAAGAATTATATTTTTTCAACCATTCTTTTACTTTCTCTGACTTACATAAAAATCATTGGCCATCCTTAGAGACTGAGGCAAGATCTTGGTACTGCTAACAAGAGATGAAAACAGTGAAAAGCAGCTGGACTTGGGAAGATCTACACACTGCACTGTGTTATCTTGTAGCCAAGTACTAACTGTGCTGAAATAGATAAGAAACATTTCTCTTATACGCTTCAACTTTTCAAATTCTACACTTACTTGAGCTGTGCCTTAACAAAGCCTTCAATCAGTACTGTGACCTTCCTCAGTGTATGTCACTATAACAGATTTGTTTAGGTACAAGTCAAGAAAGTCTAGAAATTGAAAAAGTCAAGCCTATGACATAATCAAAAGACTAGTATATGAATTTCCATAAAAAAAGAATTCTGTTCCCCACTGACATACATGTACGAGAGAAGAACTTCAAAAATCACACTGAACAACTTTCTAGTCTAGTTTACAACACCACGTCTCCCTTTTGGAAACTTTATACAGTCCATTGTCTGAAAACACCAAGAGGGGAGACACAACGTCGTTAACTAGAGGGAATTGTATGTCCTGAATTAGACTTTAAAAACTTCCTTTATGTGAAACACAACTGGATGACTTAAATACACTGATAAAATAATAAATTATTGATCACCTGTCATGATAGAAAAAAAAAGTGAAATATAACATTTTTATGGATTTTTAAAAAATGCACCTGTTGGTCGGTTTGTCTCCACAGTACTGGTAAAGCACTTTCACCATGAGATCTGGGTGAACTTTGACCTTCTGTGACCTGCTGCCACCTATTGAGGACAGAGCCACCTGGGCACACTGGTCAAGGATCCAAAACTAGAAATAGAGAATATCATGTTTTACCACTGTGATCATCTATCCTTAAAGGAAAAAAAAATTAAAAACAAATAAATAAATAAAACAAGCTGGTCTCATTGTCTAGTGTCAGTCACCAGTCAGAGCTTACATGTATTTGAAATTCACTCTTGTCATTAACATAAACCAGCCATTTCCAGTGAGCACATCTGGGTAGAGTTAAGTGACGGTCAGAGAGGTTCGTGTTTAACCAGTAGGCAGTTATCAAACCTAAAAAAACCTTGACAATTTTCGAAACCATAAAAAATTACAGTTATCCTATGTGCTCACTAATTTCCATTAAATTTATTAAGCTGGAGAAGTGGGACCATGATGATCATAATTATCCAAGCACAGCTCTGAACTACAAACAATCAATTGCTATACACCAGTTCAAGCATGACAACCTACCAGTAAGTATGGCTTTGGTTTATCTGCTGGCTGCCTGTGTTCTATGATAAACCTGAAGCTGGTATACCTGTTTGATAGATTTAACATGTACTGTGTCAGGGACACCTCTGTTGACTTGACTCTGGGGGAAAGATGAAATACAGCATACATTTATTACAAGATCCAATTTTTTTCCTATATTAGCACTGGCAAGTCATCAGCAGATTGCTAAAATAAATAAGCTTAATTTAGCCAACCTAAGCAAATTTGATTTGTTGTTCTAGAGTTAATGGCAAGTGTATGACATAATTAATACGGTTTTATAGCATGTTACAAGCTTAATAAATATTACCTCTATTCTATAACTTGAACATACAGAAAATAAATCTACATAGTCAACACTGCCATTTATAATAATGGACTTCCAATAAAATGTCTATCAAATTTATATTCCCAAGGCTTGACATGTATTTTTAAATCCAGATCATTATGATGACCAAATTGTTTTACCTCTCTGGCTTATTTCCATGTGGTTTCAATGAGACTGCATGTAAAAATACTTTAACAGCTAAATGATCATCCAGATGAGTTCCTGAAAGTATGATGAAATGAATTAATTCATAATGAAATAAAACTGTAACATTAAAATAAAAGAAAAACAACAAAATTTCTACTTAATTTTGTAATCTGTGGTCACTTTCAACCCAACTGTTGCAGTGGTATAGTAATTCATAAATCACTGCAAGTAAATGTGTAAAAGAAATGAAGGTTTGCACGAGTGGATATACACCAAAATTCCTAAAAGCTGCACTTCAACTTACAGATTAACCTAACTATTCATCGACAGATACATAAAAATATTATCCCACTAAATACTAAACATTCTTCATAGACTTACCCATCATCTCTCCAATTTGGTTGTGACATCTTCGACAATTCAACAAATTGCTTTGATTCTTCCTCTCCACTGTCTCTCTGCTGATCTGACACGGGTGTATCAGACAATATGTATCACCAACAAAACAATCATCTTCTTTAGGGCAAAAAGGTGCCTTTTTCAACAGATCAATTGCTTCTTTGTTGCCATGGTGTTTGTTCCCATGGTGAATGTCATCAGTTTGGCATTTACTGGCATTATCATTTTCACTAGGGCTGTCGCCAAGTTTATTGCTTTCAGTCCCATTGCCATGACAACTGTTACTAGCACCATGTTCATGTGTATGGGTATGGCAGAACCAGCTGTCAGCAAAATCAGCCCACCCCTCTGAAGGTAACGGCAAGACACGGTGGAATTTCCTAAAATATGTTTAGACAAAGAAAATAAAATTTCCCAAAATATGAAATGTGAGCAGAATACAATCAAGTCAACTTGTAATATTGCTACATCATAAAAGAGAGGACTCGTACAGGGTACACTTGTTTTCAAGCAAAAAAAAAAAAAAAAAAAAAAAAAAAACTGCAACCAGTCCACCCTCCCCCTTCCCTCAACAGGCGAGACGCCTCTATCGTGCCAATCACGAAATGCCCTTTTCGGGCACCCATTGGAGATCGGTATCTATAAATCTCATACTTTGTAGGTGAGACACCTACCTTCCTATCAGAGACGATCTTTCCTCATAATAAAGGCGAAATGCCTGACACATTCTAAGAGTCGCTCTCTACTCTACACAGCATGTCCTTTTCAGGGCACCCCATATGTATCAGTAACCATAAATCTCATACCAGGCAGGCGAGACACCTACTTTCCTATCGGAGACAATCGTTGCTCATAATAAAGGCGAGAAGCCTAACACACTCAAAGAGCCGCTCTATTCTGCAAGGGGCGCTGTCAAAACTCATGTCCTCAGAGGCCCAGCTCTGAATCATGTTATTTTGGTAAAGAAAAACAACTTGAAGGGAACAAAACTCACATTTTTTGTAAAAGTTTCTCTCCACACATAGAACAGCAGCAAGGCCCACTACTACTCTTTAATACATCAACCATTTGGTCTGCTGTGCTTTGACCTTGACTGGTGAGGTTAGTGTCAGGGTCAGGGTCAAGGTCAAGGCCTCCATCCCCATCAGTCAGTAACTGCATCCTCCAGTGTAGCTCAGAATGTTCACTGAGACTGAGACCATTACATGTGGCTGGAAGTACATAGGCTGGGCCCAGAGAGAATTCATAACATGGACCTGAGCTTTCATTTTCCATGGTTTGGATGCAAATTTTATCTTGGAAGAAGTCTACTTTCATATTTCTGCAGTTGAATCTGCCAAATAAAAATATGTAAATTAACAAATAAATAAAAACAACAATACAATGGATGTATGATATTTTTCGATTAGGACTTGGTAAAGATAATTAAATAAAGCATGATATGACATAATTATGTAACTTTCTTTTAAAGTTGCAATTCTCATTTTTAGATTGCCAAGTCTACATTTATCACAGCACTACAGATCATGCATTTACAGTGACACTTAATTCACAGTTGTTATACAGTGATACTTATTTTCACAGTAGTTATACAGTGATACTTATTTTCACAGTAGTTATACAGTGATACTTATTTTGACAGTAGTTACATTGCTCTACTGGTTAACCCCAAGCGTGCATGTTTCAATCATTTTCAAACTTCCACATAATGTATGTACATGTATGTGCGCATTTGTCAGACAGAGACTCTAATATTCTACAGCATGTACAACAGATGTTTAATGCTAAATTTACAAATGCTTACTTGGTTTACCAGTTTTTGTTCATAAAAGGGAGATAGTTGATAGGCATTTGAAACTATCATTTGTGGTTTGCAAATTTCCATCAGTGCATCACAATTCACACATGTACAATTAATGTACTGTACGTGCTCGCTTTTATTCAGTTGCAATACATGTAAATTTTTACATGCATAGGCATAGAGTGTGACATTATGAACATGTTACTGATTGGTAAAAAGATACCAGGTGTTGAAAAATAACGTGTAACAAGCTATAGGAAACTGGCAGGAATTATCTGAAGTGAACTGGCCGGTTTTTAAAATACAACACTCAACAGTCAACGCGGTAAGTAACGTGCTCAACAAAGATACCATAATCCTGTACAAAACTCCAAAATAAATGCTATACGTACGTATCAGCTGGAAAGATAAGATAAAACTGTGCTATTCTAAGCCTAGTCTTCAGTTCCATGTACAGCCTAATATCAGGAAATACGTCCTTTTTGTTGGCAGCGTTTACTATGGTACAATCCATGCTTTCTAAATAGGTCAATCAAGACGTGCACAATTGTATGTTTAGTAGAATATTTAGACATACGCACTCTATCAAAAGTAAATTGTACTTAACAATTTTCTTAAAATAAGATATAAGTGAGTATTTTTTTGAATTTGAAATATCAAAAAGAAATCAAATCATTTATTTTATCTTGTATGACCCAGATTACTGACGTCACTCACGTGCGAAATATGACTTCGGCGTTTGCAGCAATTTGCTATTTATTTTACTTGCATAGCATAGTTTTATTTATTTCATTGTATTTGTTATATTCAGAAAACGGATGAATATAAAGGGAAAATATTGGATTTAAAAGATACCATTGTGTGTCGACCAACGTGGAAATAGAAGAAGAGAGCAGTCAACTTGCAAGGCAGGTGGAAATATATGGGTCACCATGATTATCCGTGGTCTTCCAATGCCCTGGCTGAGAGCAAAATTACAAAAGTTCTTAAATTTGCTCATAGTTAACAAAGCATGTAACCCGTAGACATACCTGTTTTTCCAAATTGTTGAAGAAGTTAGTGGTAAGACTGAAAAGTATAAGCCATAATTAATTTAAAGACCGGGGATATCCAAGCAAAAATAGGTAGTACCCTGCTTTGACACTGATACCCTCTTCCAGGGCCGGAGTTTTTATTATGTGAACATTTCACCTGGGGCAGTCAATATATAATAACTATGAATTTAACCAGAGACATATCTGTGAATATATCCAGTGGAAAAAAAAACAAAAAACAATCTGTGGCCCTGGTAGAGGACAACACTGAACTCTTTGATGTATTAATTAAATAACATTTTGTCACAATCATATTAATATAAACAGCTAATTTAAACATTTAAGAGCACTAATTATAATTTAAAAAGAAAGTGAATACACCTGTTTGATTAAAAATAAAAAGTTTTTCATGGTATGATTGACATATGGGCTTTAAATTGAACGCATATTATGTAGACCATATGTAAGTACATGATATAGTCTATGCTTTTGATTATTATTAAGCTTTGTTCATTTATTTTCACAATATTTATTTCAGATAATACAACAAAAAGAGCTAGTGTTGCATTGTGTGTAGATTCATTGAAAATTCCAACAGCTATAAAAAAAGGAAAAATTGATAAAGGTAGTTCGGGTGAAGTGAATGATACTGCACCAAGTGGGATGGCGTTTCGCAGTTTTTTACCAAACACTGGGTCCTTTTTCTTGGCTACTGCCGAGCATTTCTTTCAGGCATCAGCAGCTAATAAGCTTTGTAGGTAAGATGAAGTGTTTTGAATATGAAATATGTGACAAATGGCATTTAAAAATTGCGGAAATCTTTCATTTTTGATATTAAAATATTACCTCGTTGTTTGTTTATATTAAATATTTCTTTGGTTTTATTCAGTTTGATTCTCTGTCTAATTAGAATATTCGTCATTCATAGGAAAGTTTTAAGAAGCAAAGATGCTATAGAAGCAGAGCAGAAAAGACAACAAAATACAAACAAATATATTATTCATCCTTTTAGTAAGTTCAGGTAGGTTCTTTTAAGTGGTCAAACTACAAAATGTCAGTCATTTCAGAAAAGGATATCTTACTTTTTTTTTAATTGGACATGATTTGGGAAATAATATGATGGTATATTATTATACATATAATTATGTTATTATACTGTGTGAAAAGTACTGAATTGAGGTTAAAGCTCTCTCTCCTTTCTTTCTCATTTTGCTTAGTATACTATCTTTATGGGTGTCCTCAAGCTGCAATTGGAAGTGTCTGATACATTCTTAATTCTTTAAAAATTACTTATTTACATGTGATACCACTTTCATTTCAATTTGTGATAAAGTAATGTAAAGTAGTAGTTTGTAAAAAAAAAAATTATGAATATTAGTTGTACTTCTTGTACTGCTGTTATATGGTAATGCTATTATTATAATATACGTAGCACCTTGTTTTCTAAATTCAGATGGTTTTGGGACCTTTTCATGGTGGCAGTATTATCTGTAACATTGATAATCCTGCCTGTCAACATTGCCTTCTTCCCAAATGATCCAGACTCACACTGGGAAGGCATGAACATTGCAGTAGATGTCATCTTTTTTATAGATATAATTCTCAACTTCCGCACTGGATATATCAGAAGTGAAACAGAAGAGGTAAAATCTGAGTTGTAATAGATTTGGTGGATGGGTCTGTTAGCCTTCCAAATGTTAATATTTTTCTAGAATATATAAATCAATTAAAGTAAAAAATGAAAGATGAATATAGACTAAAATGAAACTTTATCTTGGCCTATTTGATAATTGACCTGGTGTCAGTTGTTTATTTTATTTGCTAAAACAAACAAATATATGTAAACAAAAATAAAATAAAATAAAAATAAATAAAAATTATGTGAAAGATACAAATGGACATTTTTTTACTTAGGTCATATTGAGCAGTAAGAAAATTACAATTAACTACCTGAAAACCTGGTTCTTCCTAGATTTCATTTCTACAGTTCCATTTGATTATTTTTTCCTTGCTTCAACTGGGACAGCATCCAGAGCTTTAAATGCACTCAGGATGCTGCGGTGAGATTAAAATCTGCTTGATTGTCAGGAACTTTATTTTGATCAATATTGCTGTAAAAGATAATTTAACCTAAAAAAAGTACTTAAATTCCAACATGCATTTCTCAGTTAAAGGTTACACAAGAAGTGTATTTATTTATTTCTTTATTTATTTAATGTAAGGCCACACTTTTTTATTTTTATGGATGACATCCTCTGGGTACCCCAAAATTGGTGCGAGAGGGCGAAAAAAAAAAAACAGTCCAAAAAAAAAAAAAAACGGCTTAAAAAAAGAAAAAATGTCAGAAAACAAAACCAAAAACAAATAAAACAAAAAAAAC